TATATTTATCCACAAAATATTTATGGGAACATGTTCAACTGCATGACCAAGCGATTAAAAAAGCTGATGTAAAGAGGTTATCCAGGGTAAAGTTAACCGGCTTTTGAACAACCGGCCCCAGGTTTTAAGATCCTTCATGCCAATTTCGCAGCCAAATTTATAATTGGTGGGAAAATGTTATTCAATTACTTATGTTCTTCAACATACAGTTGTTTTCAAAATAAGCGGAAGGTGAGCAAGGCAATTGCATGAATACCCCCCAATTACCGATCTACTAGCGCCACTGTTTTCTGCGGTTATATACCGACAAATTTTCTTAAAATAACATTTCGTTAAAAAGAATGTGTGAGGAACAAAGACCCAACAACGAGCTTTCGAAACCATTGTGGATGGTGCCCAGTGCTCCTCCCTACATCGTGGCAGTCTTTTAATTGTAAGATTGAATGTTCAACAATTACTCGACATAAAATCAATCCTCAATTTGAGCTGCGCAAAAATGTATTAAGAGTAGAGGTGTTCCCTTTTTTGATAATAGTAGCACTGCATGGTATACCTGGTTCAAAATGGTATATATGTTGTGTACATGGAGGACAGGCTTCGGTTAAAACCTTCCATGTTCTTTTATTAGAAGGCAATTGCCTTTGTCATTTTCAAGAGCGAAGAATAGACCGTATTACGAAGAGCAAAATGTCAGACCCAGTGTCATGGGCGAAGCCAATGATAACTTGCTCGCATAAATTCCAGATTAATCTTTATAAAGTGGAGCCAAACGTAAAATCACCGCAGCGGTTTCCTGCCGGTTTAAATAACATCAAGTATAACTTCACACTGTATGGAGGAAAGAACGTTTCATGTACCATCTTAGTATATGTTCGTTCTTGCAATACCAGTGGTAAGTGTAACCATATACGCGTGTATGGCACTTCTAGCGGTGACGAATAGTGAAAGCATGCAAAAGACCAGGAAACAGCGAGAGATAATTCGTCTGGATATCTTTATTGTTATCATTGGCCAGAAAAAGGGAGGGAGCAGGGGTACCGTATCCAAATTCAATGAGAAGAGGGAAATTAACCATTGTATTTATTTTGATATTCCATAATTTTATTTTGCTCAGAAATTATACTTGACGGACCCTTGCAAATTACAGGACGCTTTAGACAGGGCCGTAGCTAGAAGCTTAATTGGGGGGGTGCATATTCATATATACGTCATATGCCCGAATGATTTCTTTTGTATGCTATTGTTCCTATTGTATATAAACATGAATATATGAATATACACCCCCCCAATTAAGCGGTCTAGCTACGGCCCTGGCTTTAGAGCATTGCAAAGTTAGTAAAACACGTTGCGAAATGTTCTAAAGTAAAGGTATAGACCTAGGAATTTAGAAAAATTACATACTCTTTTATTATTGGTCCAAAATTAATACCTTTCAGTTTCTCCAAAAGAGCATCAATGTTGCCTGCGGCGTACTTTCCACCCACGCCTAATTCTATTTAGCTTACAACATTTCTCAACGAAATATCAAAGCCATATTCATTAATTTTATGACGCTATTTCTACCTATAATCCTATATGGCAAAATTATTTGTAAGATATGCCTAGATCATAATATGAGTCGATACGCTTTGGGTCTATCCACGCGATTAGCAAGTTTTGTATTCAATGTTTAGAAAAAGAAGAAATAGCTGATAGAAAAAATGGCAATAAAAGAGGTAATAAACCAAAAAATCATTATCACTTTCGGAAATATTTTTATTAATGTTGCATTATACTATCAAGACAATTCAGTTGCAGACAAAATAATGATTTGTTCACAATTTAGTTCGCATTGCGTACTTTCCAAGTTGTCTCTTTTCAGAAGATAACTTCTTATTAGTAATGAATATTCTGACAAGGCAGGATATTTTAAAAGATATAACGATGCAATATTGATTCTCTGCGTACTTTTGCTGTCTTATTGGGGCGTGTTCTCATTAAAATTGTTTAATTTTATTGAGAAAAGTCATGACTTTCTAATAAAGTCAAAAATTTACAGTCTCAATCTGTGTCTTGTTTGAATTACATTTTGATTTTCAAGATGTCTTGTTTGTTCGGAATTTGCTTTTTACTTTACTTTTTCAAATTGTCGAAAGGTCATGGTTTTTAGCTTGCTGTCAATTTTATCTGTTTTGAAAATGTGAAAACAAAGCGGTCGATTTGAGATGGCAGCTAGGTCCAAGTATAAATTTGGATTATTGTTGCTGTGAGTTGCAATATTTGTCAGTGGGACATTCTTGGTTTTGAATTTTAATAATACACACGCAGGAAGATCGTCACTGAACATTTCCTAGAACAGCACTACTTTGATAATCAGTCAGTACTGGTGCGAATACAATAATGACATCGACAAGGGTTTCATTTAGTTCATTGATTCTTGTTGGTGATTTAATCAACAACAATCATATTTGGCATATACTTTAGACTGACTCTACCTCACTACCTGTGTCATTGTGTGCCACTGAACAGCTGTATTCTATTTTGTTCTAGAGTGTAAAAATGATATCCTTGTTATCTGGGACAGTTCGAATTATGTTACCTCTGCGTACATCGATGTTGTGAAAGAATTTCTGAAGAAATTTATCAAAAGTGAAAAGCTGCGCGTGGAAGAACAAGGCACTCATCTTGGTTTCGCTTCCTTCTCAAGCGACAACAGAACTAGAGAATTATTGGAGGTTGGCGAAATTAAGAACAAAACATTGTTGATGCAGTGGCTGGATATAATTGGCTTTGAAAATAATCCGAGCGGCAATACGGCGTTCAAAAGTAAGGCAAAAAATGTAAGTAGGCCTAAAATGTTTCAACAATGTAACATTTATACATGCAAGTGTGTTTTCAATCTTTGCTCATATTCCATCGTGTTATTGACAAAAGTTGTTAAACCGTGATATTACAAACGACCCACAATTACCAGAACCAGAACCTCGAAGAAAATTAGTTATCATTTCACATGATAGCCAGGGTTTCCAAAATGCAAGGGAACTTCCTTGCAATTGACAACCACAAAGGAAGGAGGGATCTTTGTTAATAGAATATACTAGAAATAAATGCATGCAGCACCCCTCTCAATTTTAAAGTTTCAACCAAGAAAATAATCTTCTCAGACCTAGATTAGCCATAACTTATGGAATGATTCAATGGGAAAGCGTTGATAGACAAATAATATTTTATCCATTGTTACCAAATTACAGATTCTCAGTAAAATTAATCAATCTTTTCAATTCTTGTACTCTCGAAATGATGAAAAACACGAGAATCTGAGGGTTTTGGGAACGTCACTCCCGGTCAAAAACAATGAGAAATATTTGACCGCACGAGTTAGGAGACTGAAACTGACGTACTATTATAGCGCTTCACTTCTTGCACCAAAAGGCTTACTCCAGATATATGAGGAACTCACTAATGAAAACTCACTTTTGCATTGACGTCACTGATTGATGTCCTATGACGTCATCATTTCATAGTAGCAGGCTGAGAATACAGACTGTGTGAAACGTCCAATTCCAGGTGCCCAATGGCCCAAATATATAATTCATTTACTCATTTATTACGTATTTTTCAACAATCAAACGATTATACAAGTTTAATATTCAATTTTTTCACAGCCGATTAACGAAACAAGTCCTAAAAATTTCCGTCCAGACGTAGAAGACGTTACTTTGTTGTTAACCAGCAGCGCACATCAATCTGCAGAAAATCAAACGAAACTTGTCGATGAATATACCAGGATATTTCGCAAGAAGAATGTCACTATTATCTGCCTGGCTGCCGGAAATGAGGTCAAAAAGTTGAAACTATATATTAATGGCTGGTCGTCACCAGAGCGAATATTGGAATTAAAGTTAAACGAGTTGGACAAAGTTGTGAATGAAACAGTTGATGCTTCATGCACTTTACATGGTAAGTGTATGTGTGTCATAAGGTACAATTTTAAAGCCCATGAAACTCGTTAAGACCATTCCCTTCCCTTCCCTTCCCTTCCCTTCCCTTCCCTTCCCTTCCCTTCCCTTCCCTTCCCTTCCCTTCCCTTCCCTTCCCTTCCTTCCCTTCCTTCCTTCCCTTCCCTTCCTTCCCTTCCTTCCCTTCCCTTCCTTCCCTTCCCTTCCCTTCCCTTCCCTTCCCTTCCCTTCCCTTCCTTTCCTTTCCTTTCCTTTCTCGTGCTCTTTTAACTGTATAAAAACACAGTGTAAAAATACTTTCTTATAGACAGGAGTAAATATCTAAACAACTATACCAATATTTTAACACCAAATTCTAAATAAAATTTTAATTGGATAAAACAAAATGATATTTTAAAAAATCCGGCATAAATCTGTAGTATTTCCATTTTTCAAAAAATGTTGGTGTCAATGCTGTGCAAATTTAAAGTTAACTCCAATTATCTTTTTAACCTGAAGGCGGATGTGAATGCAGAGATGGCGTTAACCATGAGTTTACTGCATATGCCAAACCTAAGGAAATCAAAGGCCTGGTCCATTGGTCAGTTCCAGAAGTAACGTGCTCTGATTATGAGAGAGGCCAAGTCCATCAACCTGACGTCAGGTCTCCTGCAAATTTCCCCCTAGGCAAGCACGTGATCACCTATCCCTACTGGTACAAACGCAATAACAAGACTATAGAGTTCAAATGTTTTGTTAACTTCACTGTGGTCGGTAAGTGATTTTTGCTCTCGGACAGCAAATTCGCAATAGAGCCGCTCTTTATTGAGAAATTTATCTTAATCACTGACAAGCCTTATGGAGATTAATCCGCTATCGACTACGCAATTTTCGTACAGTTTAATCGCTTTATTAATACCCAAAATTAACTTGACGTAAAATTACATAATGTAAGGACAAACATTAATCCCTGTCCCCGCTGCTTAGTTACCAATTTGGCGGAAACTTCGCGGAAACGCAAGGTAGATTTGCTAAAACAATTCGCTGTCGTTGGTACGACACTACATTCGGAACAACCTTGCCATGCCATGCCATGCCATGCCATGCCATGCCATGCCATGCCATGCCATGCCATGCCATGCCATGCCATGCCATGCCATGCCATGCCATGCCATGCCATGCCATGCCATGCCATGCCATGCCATGCCATGCCATGCCATGCCATGCCATGCCATGCCATGCCATGCCATGCCATGCCATGCCATGCCATGCCATGCCATGCCATGCCATGCCATGCCATGCCATGCCATGCCATGCCATGCCATGCCATGCCATGCCATGCCATGCCATGCCATGCCATTCCATACCATACCATACCATACCATACCATACCATACCATACCATACCATGCCATGCCATGCCATGCCATACCATACCATACCATACCATACCATACAATACCATACCATACCATACCATACCATACCATACCATACCATACCATACCATACCATACCATACCATACCATACCATACCATACCATACCATACCATACCATACCATACCATACCATACCATACCATACCATACCATACCATACCATACCGTACCGTACCGTACCGTACCGTACCGTACCGTACCGTACCGTACCGTACCGTACCGTACCGTACCGTACCGTACCGTACCGTACCGTACCGTACCGTACCGTACCGTACCATACCGTACCCTACCGTACCGTACCCTACCGTACCATACCATACCATACCATACCATACCATACCATACCATACCATACCATACCATACCATACCATACCATACCATACCATACCATACCATACCATACCATACCATACCATACCATACCTACCATACCATACCATACCATACCATACCATACCATACATACCATACCATACCATACCATACCATACCATACCATACCATACCATACCATACCATACCATACCATACCATACCATACCATACCATACCATACCATACCATACCATACCATTCCATACCATACCATACCATACCATACCATACCATACCATACCATACCATAATCACGCTGGCCTCAACAACCAGATGGGGGCTGATTTCCATGAGGGGCGGGAAAGTTTGCAAAAGAAATATATATACATACTATTACAAAAATTTTAATTTGTCAGTCAGAATATAGCAATCCCGTCTCAACTCATTTGTCTCAAAATTGTTTAGTATTTCAAGGTGCCATGATATCTAAAGCACCTCTTGCCGAATTGTTTTCTTGGCATTGGTAGTGCTAAATTGGTATTCCTATTTTTGAGATTATATGTAATAATTTTTTCATTGTTGCATCGAAATGATTCATTTAGATTGGGAGCGGTGTGGCCGTTCAGAATTTTATATAAAAAAGAATCGTTTTGAAAAAAGATTGTTTCTTCTTTGATCCAGAGATTTCCAGTTTAGGTTCTCGAGTAATCCAAAAGACCGGGTATCGTTATTTGCCCCAGTAATTACCCTTGCCGCACGATTTTGGTATTTTTGCAACCTATTTTTAAGACCACTCGCGCGACTATCCCATATAGGACTGCAATAATATCGCTGTATTATAGCATTATATAACATTTGGATAGTCTACAGTGGTACAAAAGGTTTAATCCGTCTGATTGCACCAACCTTGGACATCCTTTTATCCAGGCTCACGCCGAATATTTATTGTTCCTATGTACTTGTTTATTACTCGGGCTACCTGTGGTAGCCGAGTGGTAGCCGAGTCAAGTTTCGCGATTATTATTTTTTTTCGTGTCGCAGGCTTAGTCTTCCGCGCGGACGGTCACGTGTTTACAGTGCATCAATATAGCTCAGTTTCAGTGTAGTGTATTTACCGGCTACATAGCCCGAGTTAACGCCTACCGGGCGTCTTGTTATTAATTAAAATAGGATTACTACATACTTTATTCTTGAGATTGTGGAAGGTCCAATGAACATATGTTTCGTTTTATTGGGATGGATCAGAAGTTTGTTTTGTATCATCCATTTACGTATATTTTCAAGATCAATATTTACCTTCGTAACCAGATCGCAGCAGTCATTAAAGGACGTCTTCCCTCCCCTTGTTTTTGTTGGCTCTATGTTGCGATATCTGAAGCAGCATCACCTGTCGTGCACAGTGGTGAATCTAGACATCTATCCAAGAAAATATTGCTGGCCCATCCTGTCCACTCATGCGATGACAACAAACAGATTGGCTCCGCGAGGTGCGTCTGATGCTTTGCTTCGACCCTCGACACAAGGTTGGCAGCCATACCTTGACATCCCAGGCGATTTGTGGGTTTTTCCGGTGGTTTTTCCTTAAAAGGGCAAGTTTTTTGCGTAATAAAAACTAACCGGGCAGTGGATTTGTTTTTGTTTTTTTTCTGTTGTGTTCAGTTTTTTATCTGTCGTCATAGCAGCTCCCAGTGGTAGCAAAACTTTTTATTCTTTCCGTACGATGTCCCACCTGCCAACATGCGAAGGATCATGACTTCCGGTTTTGCAACGATGTGGTTAAAGAGGAAGGAAGATTTGTCCCGTTTCCACTACTCCTGCAACCATCCTTCTTGCCAAAATTGATGAGCGGCTTGGTCGTCTCTTATACTACATCAGGTGACGAGTTATTGTGAGCAGAAAGACTAGTTGAGATTTGAGCCTTGAAGCATTTCTTGCTGAGATAACAGGATAAATCACGTTAGCCACCGTCACTCCTCGCGATATTTGCCGTTTCTCATTTATTAAGATACTAATATTTCACTCAATCGGACGAGATGTGGAGTGGGACAAACGTCTTGGATTAGGTAACCCAGCTGCGGATATAAGTCAGTGAAAGACCATCTAGGACATGTAACTGCGGAGCAACACAAAGCTAGGGTTACACTTGAGCAAGCTCCTCCGGTTTTTTTTGTCAACACAATGACCCAATAATTGTGTCTTCATCTCGACAGGAAATTGCAGGCCACAACCGACCCAATTTTTCGTTTCCGTTTCGCCCGCGACCAGACATATTTAAAGTCTGCTTTCTTAAGTTGTGACCGTCCTGGCGACTTGGGTCAAGTAAAAGTTCCTGAAATTATAAGATTGCCAACGATGCTGGTTTCCTTTTTAATCATGTTTGGGGAAAAACCCTACGTGACGGTAATGAAAACGTTTTTGGTATTCGGCGCAATCCCCATGCAGAATGCAGTAATATGCTCGATCAGAGGAATTGAAACTTACGCTGATATTGCACGGCAGATTGGGATAAATCTGACAACCGGTCATCTAATTCGACCAACTACCCCTGATTCAGGCGTTTAAGACGTTCTGTTTTCCTCTTCTGCTGCAGAAGCACGACTAAACTCCTATCTACAAGAAATGCATGCTGATGAAGGAAAAACACTTCATGGATTTCGTTCAGGCTGCGCGATAACTTTACCCCTATCTGGTGTCAGCTAACCGAGATCATGGACCATGTGGCTGGTCTAGGCGACACACTGCTTTATACTACATGCAACTATCAAAGGTGTTTAATCCTGCAGGCGCCTCGGCGCGCCTAGCATAGAATCAAGCAATGGAGACATCTCAGGATTGGCAGGACATTAATCGCTTGAGACGCTTTGTATCAACATTTCCAACGGGAGACTGATTCTGTAACATATGTATATAGATGTATATAAATGACTATTAGCTATTTAGGGATTTAGTTTTGGAATTGAGTTATGGATAAGTTTTGGAGGAATAGTTTGGTTTGGGGGGAGAGACTAAGAATTGGGGGCTATTCACGACACTCATAATGAGATGCGAAGCGGAAATAAGATCCAGAGAGTTAGGAAATGCGAATATTTAAATATGTATGAACGCCGGGCATGCCTGGAAGAGATATAAAAGCGGTACACACCCAAATACCGGCTTCTTGCTCAGTTCCACGATCAGACGGTCCAAATAGTTTATTTTGTTATTTAGCTTGTGATTGCCCATGCACACAAACAGTAAATTCTGAAGTTGAAGAAGGTCAGGACAAGAAGATCTTAGTCAGTTGGACAGAACCTAAGCCTAGGTGCCCAACCACACCAAATCCCGCCAATCCGAAACTTATTGGCTTGTTTTCTATTGGTAATTACACGCGGTACTACAATTACACGTACAGCAACAAGCATCAAACATTTGGCATCCAATGTCATGTAAGAATTCGTGTCACAGGTATGTTCTTCACTCTACTAAACATCCCAATTGTTTTACATGCATTACTTAACTAAAACTTGTACTGAATGCTACAGGGTAACGTGTATTCAAATTTCACATGGTTTATATACGTGACCTTCCACAGGAAAACATACGTTAACGCTATTTCGTTCGTTCGAAAATATCGTTCGTTATCCGTTCGTTTGCCGTTCAAACGCTTGAAGCGTTCGTTGAAACGATTTTCGAGATCGTTCATCGTTCGAAATTGCCCGTTCGAACGCATGGGAAAAAACGTTTGAAAATTGGTCGAAAAGCGTTCAACCGTTTGATTTACCGTTCGTTGAAACGTTTGCCGGAATTTCGTTCAATCGCATTGGATTTGGGTTCGGTTAAAATGCGGAAGCGGATGCAGAACGGATCGATGGAACGGAACGGATATGGGGTTAAAATGCGGAACGGATATGGGGTTAAAATGCGGAACGGATATGGGGTTAAAATGCAGAACGGATATAGGGTTAAAATGCGGACGGATATGGGGTTAAAATGCGGAACGGATATGGGAAAACAGGATGGAGATAAATTAATGCATTGAACATCTTAGAACATCCCTTTAATTTCAAATATAAAAAGAATACAAATATAAATTACTCTCAGCAATCACTTTCGCATTTCAGTAATCACTTTATAAAAACTTATCATTCTCATAAGGCAGTTCAGCCATACGAAGCCTATGTACACATTTGAACACAGTTGGTTGACCGAACGTAGAAACAGCAAATGTAAGTAATTCGATCATGCATTAAAACGTTGCGAAACGGCGGTTCTCTGATCAATAGATCCGGAAGTCGACAAAGAGTGGCAAAGTCTGGGGGCTACAGCAATTTTTAGTTTTGTACTTTGCTCTAAGTATTTTGCAATAAAATTAATGGCTATCATGTATGGTTGAAATGCAAATTAGTATACACGCGACACTCATGATGTCGCAAATTCGAAACAAAACACAAAATATTGATATTCCAGGGGAATTAGTCAATCCTTTACAATAAAATTAATGTCCATAATGTATAGTTGAAATGCAGAATAGTTATACACGCGACACTCATCATGTCGGAAATTCGAAACAAAACACAACAAAAATTGATATTCCAGGGTAATTAGTCAATCCTGATAATGTTAAAACCGCATACCAAACTGCTTCAAATATGTGATGTGCTCAGGCAATAAATGTGGTGCAAGTGCTGGTGGTAATTGGACTATGTCTGGTACAAAGCAGGGCTGTTTCATTCTTATACAGCTGAGTTGGGGGTGAAAATAGACGTTTCCTTTTCTAGACATCATCTCTCCATTCTGTGGCGAAGTAAAGAACCTGTTCATTTGTGTTACCACTACCAGATCAAATGGTGGATGAGATATGTTACCTCCTGGCTTTAAAGATTGTGAGCACCCAAAGCAATTACGAACAAGTGGGTGACAGAATTGCAGAAGAGCGAGAAAATATTCTTCACCTGCAAGTGGTATGCTACGAGCCATTGTCGAAGCAAAAACCGGTGAAAGTGTTGGGGTTGAAAGCAATAATCGAGGCTGTGGCAAATTCATCGCTGCTTGTGATGTTGTTAATTGTGGTGTTAATGGTACAAGGTTGGGTCGGTCGACGGTTGTGGTGACAGGGCTCTGCTTTGAGGAGCGTCCGCCTTTTCTCCTCGCTGTTGATTTTTGCTTTCCCTTTTTACCGGTGCCAGCATCACTATCACACGTTACTAAGGCTGTAATGTTCATGCTGCTCGGACCTTTCTCCTTAAGCCACTTTAAATATTTCGCGGTCGTTTGAGATTTCTCTGCAACAGCAACAGCATGTGCACATATTTTCGAAGCTTTCCACTCTGGACAGTCACTGCATGATATCTTTCCATTTTTTGCAATTGTAACATAGTGTGGCTTTGTCGATGTTTGGCTTTCGACCACAAATGCATCATTAGAGCCTGGTGCACGAAAAAAAGAATATCCGTTCCGCATTTTAACCCCATATCGGTCCGCATTTTAACCCCATATCCGTTCCGCATTTTAACCCTATATCCGTCCGCGTTTTAACCCCATATCCATTCCGCATTTTAACCCCATATCCGTTCCGCATTTTAACCCTATATCCGTTCCGCATTTTAACCCCATATCCGTTCCGCATTTTAACCCCATATCCCTTCCGCATTTTAACCCCATATCCGTTCCGCATTTTAACCCCATATCTGTTCCGTTCCGTCGATCCGTTCCGCATCCGCTTCCGCATTTTAACCGGACCCCATTGGATTTGGTTCAACATATTAGATTAAACATTTGCAATGTTACAACTTTGTAGAAGAAGCGCAGAATGTGCTACAGAGAAATGATCCCAGAAACGTATTCAGTTCCTTAGTAGGAGGCTTGTAAAGGAAATAGTGAGGTTATATCGTTTTAGCCTAATCGAATGCTATTTTGTGCGCTTCATGTTATGGTTGATGCTGAGCGTCATGCAGACGTGAAGGCTATTAACATTCAGTGCATGCAATTATTTCATTAGCGTCAAATTTCACGTCGTAAGCTTTCTTTCAAAAATTTATCGTTTTTTGAATTTCGGTAATGCACTAAATGGTTAGAATTTGTGCTTTACTATACTTCTGTAGCTTCCATAAGCCAAATTTCACCGCGCGCACAAACAACCTCTCAAGCCATATATAGCATCACGAGCCATATAAATATGTCTTGGCAAGGTGCTAATTAAGTTGCATAATTGTCGGAAGTCTCTAAATGTATGTAAACAGACAAAACCAGATTTTAAAATGAATTGAGGGATTTTGCGTGTTACATATTAATATCGTACTTGTAACCATGTGTATATAGCTAATTTATTTACATCTGATAAACTTATCTAGCTGGGCCTCCGTACGAAGCAGCTACTGATTAAAATCTATTCAAAATTAAGGACCGCATCCTAGGACGGACATTTCATCTTGAAATTCGTTGTTTTTAATGCAGTCTGACATAGCTACAAATTCTACCACAATTGAAATACCCTAGCTAATATTTGAAGACATAAATACAGTGACCTAACGCGCGTTCGGTAGGGTTACAACGAGAACTAAGAGATCCCCATTTATTGGGGGCCAGGATAGATAACGAAACATCATAGTATAAGCAAAACGTGATTTATGACAAACAGCGAATTAAGGGACCCCGCAGTACCAAGTATACCTCAAGACCCCATCCTCAGCTCTGTTCGTTACGCCACTGCATGAATATCATAGCAATTCAAATATGTACGTGCATCTAGTCTAAAACTGGAGCCGGAGCAACAAGATCCTCAGTGCCCCGCTTACAAAATTGTCTTATTTCCTTAAAAAGGTATCTTTGTCTCCCCAGATCTAAGCCATCTGGCTCGATCGTTGCTGGCATGTTGAAAGGTGGCAATTGCATAAATATTACTCATAAATATTATGGCATAAATATAACTCATGCATTGTAAATATTTATTTAGACTCTTAATTTACAAAAAATACTTCATATATATTGATAAATGCACATTTCAGCACAATTCACTCCCCATGTATATTTTGGTTGTAATTTGATTTCTCTCGACTTGCTCCTCGAATCGGAAACGTGGAACGCGGAAAAGGCTCAAATGGTATAAATGGTAGAGACTGTATGAAAGTAATGAACCTATATCAATGATGTTCATTGTGTGACATTGTTTATTACAAAAAAAATTCCGTGTTTTGTGAGGTTGAGTTTTGCGCTATGTTTTAAAGTGCGTGCAGTCCTTCCTTGCGCACAACTGGGCTGACACAAGCCCAAAGGGCAAGTTGCCAAGACATAAACATAAATCGTTCAAACGGCTTCAGATTGAACGTTTATTTATCCGTTCGTATTCTCGACTTTAAAGGTTCACATTTTTAGCTGAATTCGTCAAAACGTTTTTTGGGTTCGTTGAAACGTACGTTATGACAGATCGTTCACTACCCGTTCGTTATCCATTCGTTTTGCCGTTTCAACGAAATATCGTTAACGTACGTTTTCCCGTGGAAGGTCACATATAGCTATTTATTCCACTCAGAGCATCAGCATAACTCAAAAAAGCTTTATTTAGGTATTTTAAATACTCAAGCTGATATAGCGCTGCGGTTACAAGGATCTTTAAGTAAAAATGGAACAGGACGTGTCGAAGTGTTCTTCAATGGACAGTGGGGAACAATTTGTGATGATGGATGGGATTTCAAAGATGCTAGAGTTGTTTGTCGTCAACTTGGTTATGAAGAACCCGTTAGAGCTCTTCAGGGAGGTCAGGTTCCTCGTGGTTCTGGACGGATATGGTTAAACGAGGTTGAATGCCAAGGAATGGAGCAAAATTTGATAAGTTGTTCACATAGCAGATGGGGAGAAAATTATTGCAGTCATGACCAAGACGCTGGAGTAGAATGTTTTTCAACGGGTAAAGACACAAAAAATAAACATATTAAGGTGGCTCTCTAAGGATATATCTAAGAGCGTCCGTTAACTCGGACTTTTTTTTGTTTGCCGAAGAACCCTACTGGAAAAATTCATCGTCTTGGAGTGAGTTTCGTTACCACGAATCTGCTCCTAGACTTACGAAACAAAAATACAGTTATTATGTGGAATGCAATTAAAAACATATCAAACAAAACCTTTTTCGGAAACCCAGCATAGTCTATATACAACGAGTTCAAAAAATGTTTAGTTCTATAGACCTTAAGGCTGGTTTACACTTGGAATTTTTGCTGCGATTTTATGTGCTATTTTCTTCCTTTGATAGATACAAATGAGTGAATTAGTTACTGATATTCAAATAAGAGTTCTTATACATCAGAGAATTCGTAACTAGTTACTATTTGTAACTACTCGTTCACATCTATCGAGAGAGCAAAATCTCACATTAAATCGCAGCAAAAATCGCGATTGTAAACAGACCTTTAAACGCCTAAACGTAAACCCCGAAATAAAAGCGTATCGTATATGATCGATTAAGCGCCGCGGCGTTTATTGCAAATATCGATTTAAAGACGCGGCGCTTATTTCACAGCGGCGCTTATTCGACAGCGGCGCTTATTTCAAAGTGAGCAAATAGATTATTTTCTGAAGGCCGATGAATCGAATTAACTTTTAGTCGGGGTTACATGAAAAAGAAAGCGCGAAGTTGGGCTGGTGATTCACGCTAAGTTCACAGCATACACGGCGAATCGACGACATGCCAAAGTGTTAAGCCATTTTTCCACTAGCGATATATTTCGCGCGAAGCGACATTTTACTTTTGTTTCAGAGCTCTTAACTGCAACCATCTGGAACAAATTGCTCAAATACAAAGAAATAAAGTCGCTTCGCTAGTAGAAAACCGGCTTTAGACACGGAGTTAATTAGGAAGAATGAAAACTTTAAATATCAGAAGTGTCATATGAGCTCGGTAGTAAGAGATATTCGACAATAAAACTTTGAAGCTTCAATACTGCCTGTCGTTCTCAATAGTTTAAATGTTAGGATTAACGCGCTTAAATAGAGAATCGTTTATTTCTACATTTTTAGGCGTTGATTTATATCTTCCTAAATAGGCGCGATGCGGCACTGTCGAATAAGGTGCGGCGCTTATTCGACAGGGGCGTTTATTCGATCATTTACGGTAAGCTTTAATTGTGTTGAACAGTGTGGGTATGTATATCACATGGAGATATGCATTAAAAAACAATAGAGACGAACTGGCCTGAGAAACGAAATCAGAAAATTGCGTGATATTAGTTTCACTTTACTATTAATTTTATCCCACCATTCAAACCATCAGCATAACTCACACAAGCTTTATTTAGATATTTTAAATATTCCAGCTGATATAACGCTACGGTTACAAAAAAAAGGAACAGGACGTGTTGAAGTGTTCTTCAATGGACAATGGGGAACAATCTGTGATGATGGATGGGATTTCAAAGACGCTAGAGTTGTTTGTCGTCAACTTGGTTATCAAGATGCTGTTAGAGCTCTTTACGGAGGTCAGGTTCCTCATGGTTCTGGACGGATATGGTTAGCCCAGGTTGGATGCAAAGGAATGGAGCAAAATTTGATGAGTTGTTCTCATAGAGGATGGGGAAAACATGATTGCAGTCATGACCAAGACTCTGGAGTAGAATGTGTTTCAGCAGGTAAAGATACAAAAATAAGCATGTTAAGAAACGAAAGAAATTTTCGTGATATTAGTTTCACTTAATCATTTTTCTATTTATTCCACTATTCAAAGCATCAGCATAATTCACACAAACTTTATTTAGGCATTTTGAATATTCCAGCTGATATAACGCTGCGATTACAAGGATCTTTAAGTAAAAATGGAACAGGACGTGTTGAAGTGTTCTTCAATGGACAATGGGGAACAATCTGTGATGATGGATGGGATTTCAAAGACGCTAGAGTTGTTTGTCGTCAACTTGGTTATCAAGATGCTGTTAGAGCTCTTTACGGAGGTCAGGTTCCTCATGGTTCTGGACGGATATGGTTAGCCCAGGTTGGATGCAAAGGAATGGAGCAAAATTTGATGAGTTGTTCTCATAGAGGATGGGGAAAACATGATTGCAGTCATGACCAAGACTCTGGAGTAGAATGTGTTTCAGCAGGTAAAGATACAAAAATAAGCATGTTAAGAAACGAAAGAAATTTTCGTGATATTAGTTTCACTTAATCATTTTTCTATTTATTCCACTATTCAAAGCATCAGCATAATTCACACAAACTTTATTTAGGCATTTTGAATATTCCAGCTGATATAACGCTGCGATTACAAGGATCTTTAAGTAAAAATGGAACAGGACGTGTTGAAGTGTTCTTCAATGGACAATGGGGAACAATCTGTGATGATGGATGGGATTTTAAAGATGCTAGAGTTGTTTGTCGTCAACTTGGTTATCAAGATGCTGTTAGAGCTCTTCAGGGAGGTCAGGTTCCTGATGGTTCTGGACGGATTTGGTTAGACGATGTTCAATGCAAAGGAACGGAGCAAAATTTGACAAGTTGTTTTCATAGAGGATGGGGAAAACATGATTGCAGTCATGGCCAAGACGCTGGAGTAGAATGTGTTTCAACAGGTAAAGATAAAAAAATAAGGTTGCTCTCTTAGCATATATCTAAGAGCGTCCGTTAACTCGGACTTTATCTGTGCAATTATCTGTGTAAGTCTAATATCAGGCTTGTGAACTTTAATGCCGTTAATCATGCAAAGTAAAAGTCAATAACTATGATTTCTATCGTAATCAAACATTTTGTATGAAGTTGGGCGTGCATTAGCTTCAATTTCTGCTTGCTTACAAGAAAGAATAAGTTATCTTATTTGGCGGTAATGGAAAATTTGCTAAATCGTTTCATTGGGCCGGGAACGTAATACCAGTTTTTAATCTTTCTTATTTGCTATCACGCAATATCGCAAGCTCGCCTTTGGCGTCTCATCTTTTGTTTGCCGAAGAACCCTGCTGGAAAAAATCATCGTCGTGGAGTGAGTTTCGTTACCACGAATCTGCTCCTAGACTTAAAAAACAAAAATAGAGTTATTATGTCGAATGCAATTAAAAACATATCAAACAAAAGCTTTTTCGTAAACCCCGAATGGTCTATATACAGCGAAAAAAAGTTTTACTCTACAAATCTTAAGGCCCGTTTACAGTTGCAATTTTTGCTGCGATTTTATGTGCTATTTTCTTCCTTTGATAGATACAAATGAGTGAATTAGTTACTGATATTCAAATAAGAGTTTTTATACATCAGAGAATTCGTAACTAGTTACTCGTTCACATCTATCGAGAGAGCAAAATCGCACATAAAATCGCAGCAAAAATCGCAAGTGTAAACAGGCCTTTAAACGCCTAAACGTAAACCCCGAAATAAAAGCGTGCAAAGTATATATAAAAGTGTCAATGGTTTAATTGTGTTAAACAGTGTCAGTATAACGGAATCGATCTCGAATTGAATTTTTCACTTTGAGATATGCGTTAAAAGACAATGGAAACCTACGTGTTTGAATAACGAAATGAGTAATTTTCGTGACAGTGTCACTGATATAACGGAATCGAACTCGAATTGAACGTGCAAGTGGACGAGTGAGTGTTGGAAGTTTACTACAGTACCATATACTAGAGAAGGAGTTAAGCAGTGACGTTTTGTTGATCGCATTCTATATTTGCCACGTGGTAACTTATTCTTTCTTCTGAATAACGCCAGACGATTTTACTCATCAAAGCGAGACCGCCCTGAAAATTTGCTAAGTAAAGAGTCAAACGTGACTGACATATTGTCTCTAAAGTTATTGCAACCTTTAAAGTCAAGTGAGGTGGAAACGATGAGTACCTAACTCTAGTTTGGTCCTTTTGTTACAGTGAAATCACTGAAATGCATTGGTGGTGTAATGGTTAACATTGTTGCCATTGATGCAGCCGATCTGGGTTCGAGTCCCAGCCAATGCGTAGTGTCACACAGTAATTCAACCCATATATATGGCCCCATGACACTCTGCTCATGTCTGAATTCGTTGGTGCCACTGTGCTTAATTGTTGTTGGTACAATTGTTTTCGTTATAGAATGGAACAATAAATATGCCAACATTTAACAGAGCTTTTAAAGAATGGAAATTTGGCCAGTATGAGTTAACTAAACTTCAAGGAAAAAACTGGATGGAATGTCCAACATGCTCACTGGATCAGCACTCTGCCCATGTCGATGGAAACATGAAACTGTATCGCTTTAAGTCTGCTGAAGGGTAAGATAAATTATTTTTATTGACTCGCGAATGAAAAAAAAATTGTAATATCTATTGCATTCTTGTTGCCAGACGTGAGCGACCATGTTACTACGGCGAAACATTCTTGGCGTCACAAACAAAGGTCGATAGCCATATAAAAGAGCTTTATCAGGGCGGAAAGAAATCTCAGGTAATGTCTATTATTTTAATATTTTGTAATGCGTAATGTCAAGTCTTGTATTTGTGGCAGTCTGCAACATTTGAAGATTAGTTCTAAATTAGTGCATGAGAAGTTACAGGAGCAATAGTACAGCACCGGATTTAAATGGTGAAATGGAGTAACAGAAGGAATTAGCAATTGATTCGAATTTTTTGCATTTGATTAAAAAAATTTGAAGTTTTTATGATTTTTGGATAACTGATAAAAGTGGACGTATGCAATCAATGATTTTGTTCCTCTACAGACTGTAGAATTGAGAGTAATGCATCGAACGACTTAAAATTAAAAAAGACGGAGGTTTAAAATTACTGTATGTACAGTGTGTGGTAAACATTATTCTTACATTTAGTTTACCTCGAGGGACTCGGCATGCGGGGATACAAACTGGAAAGCGGCGGGTAATACCGTTCGAAAGAGAGCAAAACTGGATGAAACCGGACTGGAGATACAAGGATGCAGACACAGTGTGGCTCAAGCTGCTGTTAGTATGTATTATGGGGAGATTTATGGGTACGCACATTATCTTCAGAAAGAAACGATGATACCGAAGAAAGTGCAATTCATGTGGTACGATATCATCTGCAAGTACTGGCCATGGCTTCAAAAACGTGATCCTGAGACATGGAGCTTAATGAAGCCTAGTTTATCGGTGATGCATGCCAAAGCTCACAGCTGGAGTTGCCAGGCATGTTTACTACTATTATATTCTTATTCTTGCAGCCAAATTAATCTTAACCCTAAACCCTAACCCTAACATTCAACGCTTACATTCCCTGTTCCTCACAAGCAAACGAACATTTTTTTCTATAAATTAGTATATGGAAAGTGTTTAATACTTTGGTCTGGATATTTTTAGGTTTTATGGGGCGGAAGATGGCAGACTGCAGCGGCAGGTACTACGGGGGAGGAAGTAGAACAAATAAATGGACACTTCTCAAGACTGGGAAATAGTACCAAGCATATGCGGCCAGAAGGCAAGTGACATAGGCTATACTGTAGATTACTAAATTGCCAACACTTCGTCAGGATTTTGATTTAACGTTCCGACTATCTTACAATCATCATCAGAAATGGTAAGGATTGCTTTATCTACAGTATTGGAAAGGAACTTTAAGACGATACTGCATGTAGGCCTATATTAAAGAAATATAAAACATTTTCTGGTTAATGTGAATATCAAGTTTATCAGCACGAGTGGAAAACGAGAAATTGTGTGGAAACACCAAGCCGAAGAGCCAGTGTTTTCACAGAATTTCGTGTATATCAACACGGAAAAAATCTTTTATATATTTTTTATTATATAGCACAAAAACTACAAGCAGCAGGAAATTTTCCGTGTTGACATTGAGTTATATCAACCCGGCTCTTAGCCAATCAGCGTTGAGAGTTTAAAAATGCAATATATATTGGTCTTGCTATGCAAATTTATCCGTGTTCATAAACTATTTACAACATGAGCGGCTGTGTTTTATCGGATATACAAGCTCGAGCCGAAGGCGAGAGTTTGTCATATCCGATACAACACGGACGCGAATGTTGTAAATGGCTTTAATGGCTTGAGAAATTCATCTCGTAAATAAAATTTATTTGATATAGAACTACAAATGAAGTTAATAACGTGACCTTAACAGTTCCATATTTCTTTTGTAAACGAAACCATGAAGGAAGGTAAGAACTACTAACAGAGCATGCGTTGGCCTGGAACAGGTGGAAAATTGAGCAAATGCCTCTTTTGTTAGCAAGGCGTTACTTGAAGGTATAATTGTTTAGACACACTCGCGATTATCTGTATTTCTGTTAATGTTAAATGCACTGTGTCAAGGGCGGCGGAAGATCGTTAATTGGGGAGGGGGCTGATATTCATATATTCGCATTCTGCGTTATTAAATCCTTTTGAAATCGATTGTTTTTACGCTCTACTAACACGAATATATGAATATTATTAGCCCTCACCCCCAATTAACGATCTTCCGCCGCCCTTGCACTGTGTCTAATCACTGTTATTCTTAGTTATGATTATGTTTCAAATTTAGTTCAAAAATCAAGCGGAAGCGTTAGAAAAGAAGGTGAAAGAGAGTCTTCTCGGTGTTGGAGTTGTGGAAGAGAATCATTTCACGGTTTTGCCAACTTGGATCGATGAAGTGAAATTGGTTGCACAAGGTATGCGCTTGTGATTTGTGAACGAATTATACATTGTGTGTACATTGTTTGTGTTGCACTGCTAATACGAAGGTTTACTAATGGATATCTTTTTCTATATTCTTATTCTTGTCTAATTAAGAGGACCAACTGCTTGAGTCCAGAAAACAATTTCTTTCTGAATGTGAAGAGGCGTAATTGTGCGATAAAGTTGTAACGCAGCCAACCTCGCCTGACGAAAGAATTCTTTTGGCTTATTCTATGAAGTTGTTCCCGAACTTTTTCAAAACCGTGGAATCCAGAAACGCTGTTCATCTGAACGAGACCACTAAGCAAAAGTTAGGGGATGACTAGAATTCTACTGTCGACAAAGGAAAAGATTTGCTCCATCAACAGATCTTAATATATCTTCAAAAAAGCATGAAGAGTCTGCACTTTTCCATTACTCAGGCGGTCGTGAATATGGGTAAACTAAACGGTTAGTTCTCAAAATATGTATCCAGGGCCGTTCCTAGACGCTTAATTGGGGGGGGGGTGCATATTCATATATTCGGTTATGCCCGACTAGTTTCTTTTGTAAGCAGTTGACTTTGCAAACGAAATCCGTGATTATGTCCGTCGGGCAGAACCGAATATATGAATATGCAGCAACCCCCCCCCCCCAATTAAGCGTCTAGGGACGGCCCTGTATGTATCTTTTAATTGACGGCCTGTCTATGATGAAACAACAATTTCACACCTACCACTGCAATTTTTTAATTTTTATACTTTAACAACTTCAAAGCAAAGAAACCGGCTTCGCAGAAAAATATCGACCAGTAAGACGTCAATAAGAGAGCTTGTCTTGGCCTATAATAGTTTGAGACCGTCGTGCAGTTTACAGGTGGATGATGTAGAATGTGGAAAGTTTTTGTGGCAACAGGATACACAGGAGAAAGGTACTTAACTTCAGCTCCTGAGTGTTAATTTGATCTTCAACCATCGATCTAAAATAACTATCGTTTAAAAATTAAAACCGTGCGACCGCTTTACAACCATTTCGTATGCAGAAGTAAAATTTATTTCCTTGCTTATTTAACAATTTATAAAGTTTTCAATCTCGAGATTCGTTTGACGGATGTTTAATCACAAATATACTGTAGTTAATCGTTCACCTTTCTTTGCTTTCGTCAGAGATCCCCACTCGTGTTAAGAAGATGATTGCCGAACAAGAGATGGAACGGAGGAGATTCATTGAAGAAGTTGATTTGGTGAGGAAGGAAATGGAAAGCTTTCTGCGTTTTTACAAAGAACTGGTAATTCCTAATCTAGAAAACCAGCTGAAGGACTTTTCATCAGGTCTTGAAGGTATGTAAATCACGTCACGCAAGCTATGAGTCGAGCCGCCAAAAAATATTCCTGAATTTCCCATATTTTGGAAACCAAAACCTAAACTTTCATTCGATATAATCAAAATTCATTTTTAACAAATCATTGCTTGCACAAACCATTCAAACTGATGTTTTCACAAACCCCTCTCCCGTTTTTCGAGGTTAAATTTCCTGTTTGTTTTTAGTGTTTCATTGAGCTGACGATGCTAACGTGTCCATATTTGCACGATTCTATGCGATGTTTTGCTACTGCCAGGGATATGTCATTTACTCATTTCAATACCGCAAAGTCGTTTTACGCTTCGTTAAGAAACAGTTGAAGACGTGTCATTAAAATCAAATTTGATCAGTTACATCGCGAATTGCATCATATCTGTTGTTACTGTTATAGCAAGACGTATTTTGAAAGTAAATTGTCAAACACCAAGCCCAAGGCGTTTCTCAGAAATCTGAAGTCTTCATGGTCCATGTCTTTGTCTGGGCGTCATTTTAGGACTTCGTAAGAGGCATACATGAAGTACCTCATCGTCTTAAATTCAACATGGCGTTTTTTAAGTTCTCTTCCCTGGTAAATGTAAAGGATTTCAAAAAGGAAATGACCTCAACACTTGATGTTGAGGATATTAGTCTTGAAGAAAATATTAGAGATCGATCAAAACTTTTGGAGAATATAACCCAGGACACCTTACAAGAAGTTGAAGATGTTTGTAGGTAAATTGAAGTATTTATAACTTTTCGTTTTTTTTTACTTTGCCTTTATACTTGACCAAAAACTGCAGAGACAGGTTGTACGAAAGCTGGATAGCGTCATAGCGCTATCTATCGAATGAAGTTTCCAACCTTTAGATATTTTAAGAAAAACGTGGAACAATAATTGTATGCGTAATTAAATAATCCATTTTTATAAGCATAATATGTGAGATAATACAATGAATCAATGATTACAATCAACAACCCGGAATGATTTTGAGGTTTTATAAGATAAATGTAACAGAATAAGTACGTATATAAAAAGCATAGGTATAGTTGGGCTACAGTGCCTATAGCTTTCAAGCTTTTGTACAGACATGATTATCCTGTGGACATACTGCATGTACTCTCCAGCCTTTGTACAATTATCTCTAATATAATAATATTGGTACAAATCTGATAAAATACCAGAATGTCATAATAAGTTATGTAGTGAAAAAATGTACTTAACCTTTCCTTAACAACAGGACCCTTGCTACCACCTTCCTATATTGTGCAAGCTAATTGACAAGTCAATTGATGATAATTACAAGAACACCATGCAGTATAATCATGCCAAGATTGCTCTAAACTTTTTGGGTTGTTGAAAATTTCCAGTGGGCTTATACACACTAACTCACCCATACTGAAAAGCATGCCTTGCAATGACCAGCCAGGTTCTGTTTCACTAGTACTGCACAATAGACCATGAGCTTACTAAATTAAATCAATGGATTTAATTCTTAATATTTCAATTGTCTTTTAAGGTAATTATACATTATAAATAGATTCAACTGATTCAAATCCAATTCTTTGTGTCACTTAATATTTCACATGCATGCATGTGAAACATGGTTGTCAATGTGAGCAGTTACATCATAATAAGATCATTCTAATTGTTAGATAAAGTGTTCTATCAGCCTTACACATTATAGAGTGTAACAAGAGGTTGAAGCCCTGCTAAAATTCAGGCAAAATTCACAGGATGAAAACAATGGAAAAAGAATATAAGAATATAATATGTTTAATAAGGAAATACAGTAAGTCTTATGGTAAATTTTAATGGTAAAGTATCTGCCCTAAGGAATTATATAATTGCTCAAATCCTTGCTTCTCCCATGTCCTGTATAATAGTTGTTTATATAAGAATGTTGAGTTGAATTTAAGCAATTTCATTGGTTGAGAGCCATGATCTATAAGAGGACACATGCACAGAGTGACTAATCAGAAAGTTTTAATGAATTTGATCAGTGATCGCTTACAAGTTTATTTTGTTAGGCAATCACATTTTAGCGCTTATCTTAACACTTTAAGATTTTCTAGGTATTGGGTAAAACAAAAACGAACTGTTTACCTGTTAATTAGGGAACTTTTTCGGCTTGCCCCGGCAGCTACTATTTTGTGGCAACTATTTTGTTCTTATCACAAATGATATGCCATACTATGTATCTATAACTGAAGCAACAATGGTTCAACATTATTTATTCGTTAAATAATATATACATAGTCACAGTATGATCTAATACAGCATTTGTTTATAAAACCCTGACTAAATTTGCATAAGAAATTCGCAAAAGAAATTCTTCCGGAAGAACCAAATATATGAATAAACATACTCCCCCCCCCCCCCCAATTCTCATTCCTAATTTAGTCATCCCTGCTAAAGGCCTATCAAGACTTGATCAAGAGTATCTCTTTTAGCGTAATTGTGTTAATAATGTATTTGAGAACGTAATTTAAGCGTAATTGTGCATGTTTAATAATGTATTTGAAAACCTGATCTCATTTAGCACTTTTCCTGTATTTCACAGCGTGTTACCTGAATCCATAAATTCTCGCTGAGCATCATTCAAACAAAAGAATTATATCATCCTTTCAGAACAGCTGGTAGGTATATAAACATTCTTAGATTTGGGTTTAAACTTACTAGTCTTAAAGCTAACGTCTATCAATCTTAAAACTTCTTCAGCGAATAGCGACTTTCAATAATTTCAATTTCATAAACAGTCTAGAAATTCGGGACGAGTAGGTATTCCATTCAAAACCTAGAACAACTTATTTAGCTTGCTCTGTTTGTTCTAGCAAAAGGCGAAAGCAGCTGTCACCGGTCATAAAATAGATAGACAAGAAGTTGTCCTTTCTGCAGCACTATATCATCCCATGAAGGTAATTAATCAATACTATTTCAAGAATTATAAAGTATTTCATATTTATATGTATGCATAATTTTTTCTCTGTCTTAATATTGTTACGAAAAATTCAAGAATTTTTGGTACTTGGAAGAGAGGTAGGACATAGCTATTGCTAAAACGTAATTAGCATTGTTTTCATGCATATTGTACAGTACATGTGGAAAGTTACACGATATATTTGCAGTTTTGGCATGCAGTTTTGTTCCTCACTCAAGGTAACTAAAATCTTTTGATTTAAGGTCCGTTCACACTATCCATTATGTCGGATCCAATTCACTTCTTACGTATGGAATGTGGTTTGTTATCGATAAAACAGTACTGCGTGCATTGGTTTTAGTTGATTTGCTGCCTTTATATATATATATATATATATATATATATATATATATATATATATATATATATATATATATATATATATACATTGCAAGTCAACTGACTATAAAACATCCATCAGAAGTGAATCGGATCCGACAAAATTTGAATTGTGTGAACAGATCTTCAAGGACAAAGTTTAGTTGAAAATTCTTGATACTCCTTGCATTGTAGCTACCTACATACGTGGTAGCAACCACATAGCAAATCATCAAATTCTTTTCAGAGATTCATGATTTTCTCTGTCATTGATCACGAAAATATATTTAGCTACATAGCAGAAATAAAATGCTAAAACGATTTAAGAACCTTTTTACCATCTTCTTGCTTCCAAACTTGCAACAATTTGCATAGTCGACAAGATTGGCTTGCCAATTGCAAGCAATAAAGCAGTAGTTTTCCTCAGATGTATTCCCATCCGTGACTTAGGGACCGGACAAATTCGCAAACGTGTTCTAATTCGTTCGGTTCAGGTGTTCACACGGTGGAAACGAATGAATATTTTACCGGTTTTACGTGTTCACGCGAGGTAACCAGACGAATTTGAGCACGGTCCTAAATTCGCCCGGTCCTGTGCGAACGTAGCCTTAGCCCCAGTTTTGAGTACTGCTTCATGCAATAGTACCTCAGTCAAATAGTAGAGAGATATGAAAGAAGGCGAAACGTTTATCAATGCGTCATAAAATCTGTTCATAATCAAGAATTTTAATTAATATAAGTAACATGCACACAGCTCGCTTGGTCGTACGTGTGCCTAATTCTTATTTAATTGAACAAAAACAGCAGTGACGTTTGCATAGAACCCATGTACTCTATATTAGTTGATGTGCGCTGTTTTTGCACGTGCCACGTTTAAGATACATATAGTGCCAGGCTAATGCGGGACATGTTTTTCCGTTTTAGACATGAACTGATTTACGTGACAAAATATCTTGTCCCGCGGATTCTACTGTCGTCGGGAAGCACAGCGAGAATCCCGATTCTCCAAGAATCGCTACAGGCAAGGTATAGTGTTCACTCTCCTGCAAGAAGAAAAATACTGTTATGTTAGGCGACTGGTTTGTTAAATTGCTAAAATGAAGACTGGTTCCCAAATGTTGGGTTGCCATAAAATTATTTACCTTTCATTAGGTACTTTAATTTAATCCGTTGGAAGGCTTAATGCAATGCCCAATAAGAATTGCTCAATAATATATAAAGGCAAACTTGATGTGTCTGTGAAATTACCGTTCTAGAAAGTACGTTTTTCAATAATTTTCAATAATGCACTATCATTTGTAGGATATTTGATATTTTCATTGAGAGTGTTTTCTACAATGACACAAGAAGCGATTTATGTCGAAATTATAGCAAGTAAGTTTTTTAATTTTGTATCAAAGTCCACTGTTATAGGCTATACATGGTGTATAAAAAAAAGTAGACAATTGTTAAAATGTCCATAAACTGAAAATTTCGCAAAAAGTCTGAAGAACGTGTGTTGATATAGGTATTTTAGGGTCTCTTGACCAATTTAACACTCAAATAAATAAAAAAAAATTATATCGACGTGTAGGAATGATTATTTTCAAACACCATGCGTTTCACGCGGTAATAATTCATGCATTATTGATATTTTACATTAATCATGCGTGAAATCATTTGTGAGCTGCAAAAAGTATGCGAGAAAGGCCAAAAATAGCAAAAAAGTCCAAGTTCGAGAGGCCGCCCGGTGGATTTAATGTACACCAAATTGTCTGGAACTTTGATAGTTTATAAAACATTACCCAAACTTTCAACCTATGATAATGAATTAAGATTTGAACAGTCCGTTTTTGTGCGCGAGGGTTGTTTTAGGTGGTGTTTGAAAATAATCATTCCTACACGTCGATATAATTTTTTTTATTTATTTCAGTGTTAAAGTGGTCAAGAGACCCTAAAATACCTATATCAACACACGTTCTTCAGACATTTTGCGAAATTTTCAGTTTATGGACATTTTAACAATTGTCTACTTTTTTTTCATACACCCTGTAGTATATTTCAACCGACGTCAAAACATGCACTCTATATCGTAGAATATCACTCGTTTTATAATTAAGTAAGGTGTAAGAGGAAAGAATGCATGCAAAGAGATGGTTATTGATTTTGGTGATAATAAAGCTGTTACATGTATCTGGGACAAAGTGATTCTTGGGTTTGGATAGACGACGATTTGAAGTGAAAATCTGATATCTGACTATATGCAAGGTTATAAGAAGGCGATGAAACGCCAAAAAAGATACGGATCAACCCATTGGCATTGCATGGTGTTTCATTTTTATGTCGCGTAATATGTGTTCAAAACCTTACATCATCTCCCAACATGCAGTACTCTAACAATTTTAACATTTTAAAATGTTTTGCGAAGCTGGAAAGCTGGGGGTGGTTGTTCGAAAGGCGTTTAGCTTAAACGGTGGATAAGTTAAAAATCGAAAACAAAATTATGTATTTATTGAACAACGTAGCCGAAATATTTCGATGTAAATAGTTTAATTGTCAATGGAAGTACATATTAAATGCATAAGATGCAGGTTCAGTCATTCACAATATCTATGAGAGTATTTTTAAACTTTGGCTTATCCACCGTTTAAGCTAAACGCCTTTCGAACAACCGGCCCCAGAAAATTAGCTATGTTCACAAAGTACTACATAATCTGAAAACAAAAATGTTGAAAGAGATTTCTCGGTGTATACGCAAAGAAAAAAGGTCACTTTTATAGTATTTTCTTTATTCATAGTATTCATTTCAGTCGCAATGGCGTTGACATTCGTGCCAATAATTCTCCATTATATTTTTAAGAAAAAACTCTTGTTGCTTGGTGTTAATACTAAATACTGTTTAAGATTTACGGCTGTTTTCCACTATCGCGTTTTTTGTGCGTATGTCTATACGAATCTAAAAGCCTAAAATCCTTTAAATGACACTTATGAAAAATTCATCGGGTTGAATTCTGTTGATGATTTGATGCGTGTTTTTTTCCTGGCATGAAATTAATTATACAACAACTTAGAAGGTTTTAAGCGTGCGTGTACGTACGTGCAAAAAACACGACAGTGAAAAACAGCCCTTAGACTATATAATGTAAAGAATGGAGCTGAAGGACTTTGACACAGGGGCGTAACTATAGATCGATATTTGGTGAGGGGTGATTATTCATGTACATTTCGTTCTGCGCGACGGATGTCTTTTCTAAGTGCAATGCACAAAAGAAACCCGGCCGTCGCGAGTAGAACTGAAAAAATTAATAACACCCCCCCAGTTATCGTTCTAGTTACGCCCTTGGTGGTACACCGAAAAGGTTTGATGTTTTGGACGTTTTCCGCTAAAATACGTGAACGTAAATGTTGCTTTTTCACTTCTTTTCAGACTTTATATGGATTGGAATAACAAAAAGCACAATGGCGAGCTACCTCGATACCGTGTTTGTTCAAGCAAGAAAATGGAAGAGACAAAGTTTGAGGATTTAACAATTAAACTTGGCTATCCCTATGTTTTTGTGCACCAGGGTGACTGGGAGCATTTGCTATTGTTTCGTAATTTAAGGTAAATATTCCAGGCAAATATTAGTTGCCAACTATTAATCGTGAGTGTCGTAAACATGTCATGGTGGCTGATATGATAGAATATTTCTATGTGTGTGCAGTCTACAATGACCGATTGAATACAGAAACAAAGAAAAATTTACATCCTGACTATTTCTCATCGGTGAAAATGATTTGTTCACGACTATTACGACTAAATGAATACCAGGATTAAGTTGGCACGCTACTATTAGCAAAATACACCTTACATATATATATATATATTATATATATATATATATTATATATATATATATATATATTATATATTTATATATATTATATATATATATATTATATATATATATATATATTATATATATATATATATACACCCATTTGCAAAAACGTTGGCCGCAGATAGATAGATAGATAGATACTCGAAGTCTAATTAGAATTGCATATGAATACATTTGCATGGGATTTCAATCATATTACACAACATATGCAATTCTAATTAGATTTCGGGTATCTATCTATATATCTATCTGCGGCCAACGTTTTTGCAAACGGGTGTATATATATATTATATATATAATATTATAATATATATATATATAATATATTATATTATATTATATATAATATATATTATACACCCATTTGCAAAAACGTTGGCCGCAGATAGATAGATAGATACTCGAAGTCTAATTAGAATTGCATATGATTACATTTGCATGGGATTTCAATCATATTACACAACATATGCAATTCTAATTAGATTTCGAGTATCTATCTATCTATCTATATGCGGCCAACGTTTTTGCAAATGGGTGTATATATATAATAGATATGATAGAATCCTAATCAAGGAAAAGTATCAAGGACATGGAATTTCATCTGGCAAAAAGATGATCGCGCGTCTAACTACATGGTAATCACCCTAAGCACATGCACATCTTCTATGTGCCAGAAATCTTTTAGAAGCAAACTCGTTCTGGTGATCTCGTTCTCATGGCTTTCCACTTCAAATTTCAGATCTAAAACTTATGGAACATTTTTAGGACCGTTTCAACCGGAAAAGGGCCAGGCAGAGACCCAGCAGCCACGATGACTTGAGACAAGTGGTCAACCAATGCTGGCAAGGTCTTGAACGTGAGACACTAAAAAACCTATGAAATCTATTCCAGCATAAATAAAGGCCGTTTCATGAGCAAAAAAGAGGGATAAAAGGCATTCACATGTAATGCATGTTTGCACATTAACATACGTTACATGAATATCATAACATCTCATAGTTGTTGTGCAGCATGTATTTTTCAGTTTACTCATTTACTTTTTTCTAGTTCACTTATCCGTAAGGTTTTCTGTAGAAAATTAATGTATGCTGCTAAAACAATGAAATACAGTCACGGGACTCAAACTTTTGCCTCCTACTGTATTATAATTATTGTGTTTTTTCACAATTTTCCATTTCATCTCCATGTAGAAAATGCCTTCACCCAAAAGGCACTGGTATATATTAGTTTTGAAATTTACTCGGTTCGAGAGTATTGTGCCTTTTAGTGTTTATGGAAGCATGGATGGTTAAAAGACTAATGGATGCATGGATAGTTTATTATCCATGATGGAAGTATGGGACGCGCAGAGTGGAGTTTTTCTTTGCTTTTCGGAGAGCGCACAGGTAACAAATATTTTCATCCGTGCACAAAACTCAGTGGCAAAACTCTGCCTATTCACCCTATATTTGAAAACAACCGGCCTAAGTCACAAGGCTGGAAACAAACCTCGTTAAATATGGAATTGACTTGATACGTTACGTCATCGTTTTCATATCGTTTTCAAATTTATCCGGCAAATCCGTGACCACACACATCCACTCAGACCCCGTTTACACTGTCACTAGAACGAAAGTTTCCGGATTTGTAAATTTATCCGGATTCATTGTTACACACATGTATCGGATTCTTCAAGTGTTTACACTACACTTTAGTTGTCTCTGTATGCGGATTTGTCCGTTTAAAACCGAGTTCATTTTCTATCGGATTCGTTGCTGCGTGTGTAAACAGCAACATGAATCCGGTACTAAAACATTCCGCTTTCGTGATAAATGCGGAAACTTTCGCTCTAGTGTAAATGGGGTCTCAGTCGTCGTTTTCAAGTTCTTCCGTTTTCAGTGGACGGAAACGCCGGATACGTTTGTACGAAACCCGTCAGTCAGGCCGTCACCGTAAAAGTATTCCAACATTTTTAAAGTCTTTCGGCGTCGTGTGGGCAGGGCTGAATATTCTATATTGCATGTTTGATGAGGAAGGTATAAAAAGCGTTAGCCTCTTTGCTTTTTAGAAACTATTTATTTAATAACACAAGTCCCAAGCCTACATGATTCTCATGTTGTCCGCTTGGCTGACTTCTCAATAGTGCCCCCAGGTGCGATAGTGCAACCTAATCTGTCCCGTGACTTAATTGATCAACCAATCAAATAAATTTAAATATAAAGGTCTACTGTTTTCTACATCCTCCCCAACCAAAGAAAGTCGTTAACTATAGTGAATGTTCATGAATATTGTTGGCGGAGTCTACGTAATTCTTCTCCCTGAATTGCTGCTTTCCTCGGTGGTCTCCTTCCTGTGGTCTGATCTTCCGTCTCCAACTCCGTTTCCCTGGTTTCGCCCGTTTCTTCATTCGTGTCTTCGTCCCCTTCTTTATCTGTCGTATCATTGCGTTCAACGATCTCGAACGGTATCAACTTTTGTAATGGTCGATAAACCGATGTCTGCGCTCCACCTTTCGCGAGGACCTTGAGTTTGGCCCCTCTAACCACGCCATCACGCCCCTTCACGTGCTGAAGAACTCTTCCCATCCTCCACTGCGCTCGCGGTGTAGGTAGGTCATCTTTGATCAACGCGATATCGCCAACTGTGAGATCTCGCGAACCGGTTTTTCTCTTCCGGTAAAGATTCATCTGTCGCAGCTCGTTTATGTATTCCCTCCGAAACCGTGTCCAACAATCTTTGAGGATTTTTCTCAAATGTTTTAATCGTTGCTTGTACTGTCCGAGGCTCGCCGTGAGTGAAACGTCCGTCTCTTTCATCCGCTTGCAAAACCGCGCCCATGCATTAGATGGAATGGGGTCAACGGTTCATCCAGATCGTCATCACTGACGTACGCCAAGGGCCGATTATTTATTGCGATTTCTACCTCGCACAGAACAGTCTGGAGCTCCTCAAACGTTGTATGCGCCCTCCCGAGTGTCTTCTTCAAGCAGGACTTTACTGACCGTACGAGGCGCTCGTAAAATCCACCCCACCATGGGGACGCTGGGAGAATAAACTGTGTTTTATGCCTTGACATGACATAAACCGCTTGACCTCTGCCGACTTGAAAGTCTTAAAGTTGTCGTTGATGATAAGATCAGGCACACCCCTCCGAGATACGAATCGTCGGAACCCTCGTAGGAATCCGTCACTTGTCATTGAATACACGAGTTCGAGGTGAATAGCTCTGCTCGTCGCACACGTCAGCAAAAGAATGTATACTTTAACCGTGCCCGAGCCTTCCTTCACAAATAAAGGTCCCGCAAAATCCAAGCCCGTTGCTTGGAACGCGAATCCCGAATGATCGATTCTGGTCTGCGGCAGGTCAGGACTTGAAGGAGCACGCATGGGTCTTCCTTGGTACCGTTTGCAAACCACGCACTTTCTGATAAGTAAACGTGTGAAGTGACTCTCTATGCTTCGAAGTATCATTGGGTGCTGTTCTTGGTACTCCAAACGTGAATTGGCGAGCCGTCCCTTCAACCGCAGGAGACCGTCATTGTCCTCGTACAAATTCAACGAAGAACGAAAGTTAGCAAAGTTAGATTGTTCTTTTAACACTGATTGTTCCTCTTTGATCCACCTCGCTAACGCGTTGTTGTATTCATCCACCGTTAGAACACCGTCCGTGATTAATCCCTCTTGCTTGTTCACTCGCTTTCGTAGATTGTTTAGGTATCTCATGATATAACCGGTGGTGCGGATCAACCTTTTCAATGAGCTATACCTAGTGCAGTCAATGACGGCAACTAATGAACCCGTTTCATCTCGTGTGTCGTTTCGTATTGCAGTGTTGACACTGGCCTCAGTAGAACAGGTTACCGTAACCTCTTCACCAGCATTCCCGCCCGAAAAATGACTAATGCAAACAGATTGACCCAACAACAGCGTAGCACCTGTGAACCAACACCCGGAGAAACACTCAACCAATTAGTTGATATCCTGGTGGGGATATCAGCAGGATTGATTTCCCCTTTAATGAAATTCCATTGGTCACGACCAACAACCTTCCTAATTGAAACAACCGATTCTCTACCCAAGGTTTCCAGCTTCTTTCTTTTCCCTTTATCCAACACAACGCCACCTCTGAATCCGACCAACAAAATATTTCGTCCAACTCTACACGTCCCCGTATACCACTCACAACCTCATTAATTAACTTGCTCAACAACAAACACCCTAACAACTCTAACCTGGGAATGGTAAGGGTTTTTAAAGGAGCAACCTTCGTCTTAGCCGCTAGAAAAGACACCTTAACGTTTTGTTTGTAAACAGACCTAAGATAAACAACCGCACATACTTGCTTTGAACTATCACAAAAACCGTGAAGTTCAACTCGGTCCGCCGGAGGAAAATTTAAATGAAAGACAAATCGACTTTGTCTTACTTCCCGGAAAAGTTTTAGTTCCTCTAAAAATTTGTTCCATAATGCCGCGAGGTTCGATGGAATGAGATCATCCCAATCTAATTTGTCCTTGCACAATAATTGAAAATTTATTTGCACAATAATTGAAAATTTGAAATAATTTTATTCTGGCAGTAACCGGAGCAATCAAACCCAATGGATCTTAAATCGAAGCCGATGCACTTAATAAATTGCGCTTTGTTTGCTTCATAAGAGCACATTTGCTCACAAAGGAATCAAACTGGAAGACACGTCGGTACGTGTGTCCCACGAAATGCCCAATACACTTTGATTTGGAGTAACTAAATTGGGCGACACTGCTTCGAAATAGGTCATATCTTCCCCTGATGACTGGGAATCTGGTGTCTCACCCATTGCCGAAGAAATATATTTACGAAGTTCTGGATCGTTAGTTACCCACTTACGTAAATCAAACCCTGCCTCTTGTAGTATAGCTTTGCTGGTGTCACATAATTCCTTAGCCGCGCTTACACTATTGCTCCCACTAACTAGATCGTCTACGTATAAATCTTCGCCAATACGCTCTACAACTGCATTTGTCGATACATACTTACTGAGGTGGTGTCTTAAAGTCGCATTTAATAGGAATGGGCTACTCGTTAGTCCAAAAACTACCCTTAGAAACCGATAAATTACTATTTTCTCATCTTCGAATCGAGATCATACCACAAGAACCGCACAAAATCTCTATGTTCACTAGATATAGCGATATTAAGAAATGCCTGCTTTATGTCTGCTAATATACCGATTTTATGAAGCCTAAATCTTAACAGGATGTCAAAATCTTCGCAATAAGATTGGGTCCCGAGTACAAGCATTCGTTTAGTGAGGGCCATTAACCTTGCATGATGCATCGAAAACTGCACGTATTTTCGTAGTCTGTTTTGTCCTCACGCACAACGGGTCTGTGAGGAAGATAATGGGCGCCACCCATCTCCTTAGCAATCTCATGTGGGGAACGCGTTCAATTATGCCGTTTTTTTCATACTCGCTAAAGATCTCATTATACGCGTGAGAATCCCTTTAGAGGTTAACCTGGGCTTCAGAGCTTTTAGCGTCCTTTACAAACATTAAGTTATCGGATAATGGTTCTGATCTGGCTTGAAAGGCAACTTAGTTACGTATCTGGTCCCGTCATGCCCTATGTCTTGTTTAAACCGGCTGACTAACAGTCTTCTAAGCACCGACAGCTTCCACCGACCAGATTTTTCTAGATCCTGTTTAGTATATCGGTTATCTCTTCACTCTCAGCCAGCTCGTAGATATGGGTCTCAAAACATACAGGTCAGAAGGACCTGAACTGATTCTACCATTTTCCATCCACTCTTGTGCCGCATGCTACCGGACCGGCTTGCTTCTTACAACTTTGCCTGTCATGAGTTGGTAGTATCACCCCGACTAAAATTCCACTGGGAGGGTGGCTGACCCTCATTGTCCGCAAATTCTAGATTCTTAAATTCTTCTTAAATGATGTGTTCTCGAAATAAATGATTAGTCAGTGGGCTACATTTTGGTACATAAGGCTTCCACCATGTGGATCTTGGTCCGATTTATTCTTAACCTTAAACTGCACAACGTCCAGCTTTTTAATTTCCTATCATTATCCTGGCCAAATGTCTTAATAAGAACCTTCTCTGATCTGACTGTCTTTAACCGTCTGGCCTCTAACCTTAGCTGAGATGTAGAGCGCTGGCTGCCACTATCGAATAAAATCCTAGTGCTATCTCAAATCGTATCCTCTACCGCGCATACTGTACCCTAGCCGTTTGTAACTATACCCTGTTGGTCACAGCCAGTATGCCTACAAATTCACTTCCTCCTGACCTTTGCTATCCTCATCATCCTTACTTGGATCCCGTTCCGGCAAGGTTGTTCCGCAGATGGAAATGTGGTGTTTACCTTGATTACATCGTCTACAAACATAGGTTGACTTACAATTTTTTGCAATGTGTCTCGAATCCAAACAAATGAAACACCTTCCCTTTTGTCGCAAAATGTCTTTCCGAGACTGGTGATTAGAAACTTTAGTACATTTTGATGGGGAATGTCCCCCCTCATTACAGTATAAACACGGGGCTTTACCGGTTTGACTCAACAACCCACTTGCGGTATAGGGCTCTCTATTCCTAAAATGTTCCGATTTATTTCTCAGCGAAGAACTACAATCTTCCTTAGCCCTAAGCTCATTGTTGAAAAACTCCATAACCTTATCTAGGTTCCACACCTTCCCACAAAACTGCCTTGAAATAATCATGTTAATTTCATCAGGCAAGCGATGTTTTAAAATTGGTATAAGTAGGGAACCATACCCACTGGTGTCAAGCTGTAGAGATTTCAAATTCCGTACACAATTTTCAACGTGGTTGTACAAGGTCCTAAGTCCTTTCACGTTGTCCGCCAAATTAATTTTATTAAGTTTAAGTAAAGATTCCATATGCGCGGAAATGAGCATCTGTTCATTCCCAAATCTGTCCTTTAATACCTGGATAGCCTCTTCGTAATTCTCTGATGTCAAAGTTAACCCCGATATAGCGGAAAGGGCCTCCCCGTTCAAACATCCTTTCAAATAGTTAAATTTATCTATATCACTAATAGTCAGATTATTATGAATCGAAACTTGGTATTGATCCCAGAATCCCTGCCAATCTAAAAGTTTCCCCGTAAACTCACGTAATGCTAATTTTGGCAATTTACAATGCGCGCCCCTTCCGCTTGCGCTTGTATCTAAGCCAGCTGTGCGTAAAGAGTAATTTGCGCTACTATCACTAAGACTTTGCGTGCGTTTAATTTTTTCGAGTTTTAGATCCGCCTTTGCCAAAACTTGATAACTAGGTTCTACCTCTTTCATGTGATTAAGAATTTCCGGCCCGATGTCCTCAGGATCAACTAAGGATAAAATTTCATTATGGACAGTTGCCAACTGCTCGACAAGGCTTGTCACACTGTTTCTTAAGGGTGTAGATAAAAGGCGGGCGCGGACTCGGATGGACGCGGACCGGCGGACGCGGACTGGCGGACGCGGACCGGCGGACGCGGACCAGCGAGCGCGGACTGGCGGACGCTGACTGGCGGACCGAAAAAGATTATATTATTAATTATTGTGTTATTAATTAATGATTACATTATCACTTATGAGTATTATTATACTTTTTGCTAATTATTCAATCCACTATTTTCTTAATATTTTACGTGCTCTGGTAACAGGCAAGCTCTAATTTCTTGTGGTATTTGTACAAGAGAGGGTGCAAAATATGGTTGTCTTTTCTTTAAGCATTCCCGGGAGTTTCATTTAACTCTCAGGTTCCATCATAATAGGGTCTATTCGCATAAGGCATAATCACTAAATCCCAAGGTCCCAATTTGATCGAGAAATCACCCACGGGGTCTTTGAGTGCGCGCGCCAAAAGTTTACGCTAATATTACGATAACATGTAAAGTCATGTAAAACAAATTAATAAAGGGATGTTTTAAAGTTACAATTACGAAAATTGACTATACCGGTTTACAGTATCTTTTGATGTGGCGCTGTACGCATCAAGGAAATTAAATTCACATTTACAACAACAACAACAACAACAACAACAACAAAAACAACAGTTTCAACAACAGCGACATCAAGAACAACAGCAGCAGCAGCAACTGGCACCAATGGCACTTGGTTTTCCCAACCCATTCTTTGGGACATACGTATTGTATCTTTTGCAATTTTGTCCACTTTTAGTGAAGAAATGCTTTGGATGTGGGCAATCGCTAAAACCCGGAGAGAACATTAGGGCTTCCCCTTGGGATTTAGTAATTGTGTCATATGCGAATAGACCTTATTACGATGGAACCGGGGAGTTAAAGGAAACTCCCGGGAATGTTTACTACCACGTAAACAGTGGGTGCTTAAAGAAAAGACAATCATATTTTGCACCCTCTCTTGTACAAATACCACAAGAAATTAGAGCTTGCCTGTTACTAGAGCACGTAAAATATTTAGAAGTAGAGTAGAATTCACTCATATAATATTCTAAAGTGATAATGTAATCATTAATTAATAACACAATAATTAATAATATAATCTTTTTCGGTCCGCCAGTCCGCGTCCGCCAGTCCGCGTCCGCCGGTCCGCGTCCGCCGGTCCGCGTCCGCCAGTCCGCGCCCGCCTTTTATCTACACCCGTTTCTTAATCCGAGGAGTTTAGATTGCTCACAGTCACCGTCTTCCGAAGTTACATAGCCGTTTAATTCACTTAAAAGAGTTTTTAAATACGTGCTAAGACCAATGTGTCTGCCTTTAGCCCTTGCTAGCTTTTCCGTCATCTTAACATATAAAATATCAGACACCGACTTCACAGATCACAACACTATACACTCAGACAAGACGCACCGTCACACACACACATTACACAAGAAAAAAATCATATATATTACACATTAAAAGAAAAGAACGTTGCGCAACGACCGTTTACCCCCTTTTCAATAGAACGCAACACCAAAAAAGTTTACAACGGGAAAGAGTTTACCTCCACAATGCCACATATGCTCTCACCGCTCACGAAGGACACACTGTTGCCGACTTTAACACACTATTGGTATCTTTTTCTCTTTTCTCCCGCGTGTTCGTTATGATCTTTGGACGCGTCCCATATCGGGCTCCATATAAAAAGCGTTAGCCTCTTTGCTTTTTAGAAACTATTTATTTAATAACACAAGTCCCAAGCCTACATAATTCTGATGTTGTCCGCTTGGCTGACTTCTCAATAGTGCCCCCACGTGCGATAGTGCAACCTAATCTGTCCCGTGACTTAATTGATCAACCAATCAAATAAATTTAAATATAAAGGTCTACTGTTTTCTACAGAAGAGTTTTGTGTACTGGTGATTCTCGATTCCTAGTCGTACGACAGTAATGCTGACAGCTACCCAGTTTGGGGTATTTTTCGGTCATTTTGGTAATTTTTTGTCATAAACATTTTGAGTGGATCATGCTTGATTACCTTCAATCAGTGACTATGAATTGATTAAAAGGAGATTTTTTATTATGTCGCGTATTTTGGCGGGAAAACGCTCAAAACCTAAAATCTTTTCGGCGTACCACTCAAAATCAATTTATTTTACCATTATTCTTTAGATTATGCTGTGAACTAAGTTTTGAACTGTATTTGGTGAATGGAAAACACGAAACAAAGGAGTTATTACAAAATAATTATAATGCGGCGGCCATCAACAATGTTATAATGTCCAGGCCATTATAACCATGGATAATAAAGACAATAAAGTCTTTTAACTATCCATGTTATAACTGAAATGAATACAAAAGAAGCTTCGATTCAAGTGTCATTTTCTTCTCGGCGTATGATGTATCCCGAGAAATCTTTTCATTTTCACAATATTTTGAGATTATACAGTAAACATACTTTGTGGATGCTTTTTAGGTTTGCTAAACATTTTTATACTGAAAATTGTAGTGTTGCATGAAGATATAACTGAGCTTTTGAGCATATATTACGCGACATAGAAAAATATCTCCTCTTAATAATAACTTCGGTTATATAACATGTCAGTGCCTTTTTTAAGAAATTTTCACTGGGGGGGCAATGCAGGAAAAAGGCGAAACGAAAAATGAGCCGACGAGGTTTGGCGAACGCGTGAGACAGAAGGAAACCTATGTTTAAATGCAAACAATAATTTTAACTCTTTGCAGTTATAGTTGTACAGCATTTAGGAAAAAAATTTGGCCACAAAATCTCTTTGTTTATATGTTTCAAGACATGGCCTTGCACTGCGTCGGTCTTTTTTGCTGCATGAAAAAGGATACAACGGCTGGCCTTGGGTCATATAAAGCAGTAGGGACACCGTTCCAGGCTATAATCATTGTATCATTTAATGTTTTCTTTGTGACGAGGTTTAGAAAGCTAGCATTCTATTCAATTAATTCTATGAAATCTATCGCTACTGTGAAATATTTGTCGAAGAACATATTATGCATTACATGCAAAATGGCTGTGGAGAAAGCCGTATGGAAGGCCATAATCTCTTTATCATGCAAGTAAATCAACAGCAATTCTCAGAGCAATCATGAGCAATACGGTGTCGTAAACGGGGGCAGAAATGTAGTTACTGGGGGGCAAATGCATTCTCTGGGGGGGCAATTGCCCCCCAGATATATAGTTACGTAAAAAAGGCACTGTAACATGTCAAACATTTGTCAAACATGGACGATAGTGGAAGGAGATCGAGAGATGATCCAACTTTTAAAGCTGGGCAAAAACACTATTGCTCAAAGATTCACATGAGAAAGCTGTTCGGAGATGATTCGAAACGTTTTGACAAATTTAGGTTTGTATGAACGAAACAGACTGGGGCCGGTTGTATGAAAGCCGGATAGCGCAATGGATAGCTCTATCTACCGGATAGTGTTTTTTTCAATCGCTTTAAAATCGCCCGTTTTTTGGCATAACTTTGATTAAATCTTAGTATTCCTAAATCGAGGACCTCTTTAATAATTGTTGGGTCCAGTATCATCAGGGCAATACACAGAGAATGGAGTCAGACAGTCAGTGCATGGACAACAATTAAGTAACCATTTGAAAATTATCACAATATGGCAGAACAAACCAAATAAATTAATTGTGGACGTCCATCTTTATAAACTGTGCCATAAATTTGAAAAATATAGTGTGTTTGTCTTAATGATCCACATATACCCATAGATCTTTTATCTGACTATCAATAATATTCTGTAAACCTAATTAATCCATTAGCAAAATTCCTTATAGTTTTTTATGGTGTGTATATGCTATTTAATTACAATAGGTCTTACTCATAATGATGACAAACATATCACATGTTTGATTAGTTCCACAAAGCTAACAACCCAATCAAACGTTTGACTGTGACCCCCAAACCCATCTTGCCACCTGTGAGTTTTGCAAAATATCAAACTGGATTCATAATTGATTAAATGGGTTAATTGCAAAAATAGAATTGCAAAACATAGAATATGGTTATTCGGGTATAATGGTTATTCCAAAAGCTGTTTACTCATGTCTAATTATCATCCCAGTTCACATAGAGTTCACTGCAGACAAAACATTAGTCATGTGTCACCTGTAGTGAACTCTATGTGAACTGGGATGATAATTTGCCACCAGTTTGAAGCTGATTTGAATAACCAGTGCCCAGCCTAACTTGTTAACTCGATTCACAAACATGCCGAGAAACAAAAAAAGCAGTGGCAGATATAGGGTTGTGCAGAATAAATTACACAGCTCAATTTTAAATTCAAAACACCTTAATAACAACGCTATTGGTTGTAGGTTTGAAAAGAATATTTTTCCCAAATATTGTTAGCAGAGTGTAAAAACAATCAATTTCAAAAGAAATGAATATCCCCCCTCCCATGAAATGACTGCAGGCCGGCCCTGCTGATCACTCTGATGTATGTTACACCATAGGTTAGACATTTATATAGTTAAGAGCCTGCTTACATAATCCCTTAAATCAGTTTAGATTTTGTAGTAAACCCCTCTCAATATTCAAATTCAAGCTGAAAAGACATTTTTGGTTTCATTATATTGCATTTCATCACAAGATAATTTTGCAGTGTTTATAAAATTTCTTTTTTAGTTTGTCAGTGGCTATACCTCTGATGGGGAAATACTCTTGGATTACTCAAAAAATATAATTACAGAGGAAACAATGAAACTTTTGTTTGAGCTGGTAAGATTTTTGAATATTCATGTTAGGATTTGTTTAGTTATTGCCTGGTCTGTATATTCAAATTTCATATAAAAGTGAGTTCTTTATTAGTTTTGTGGGGCCAAAATCAAAATCAGCGTAACATCAGGCTTCTGCATCTGCATGACGTCATGAGGAAGGTCTATTAAGCCAATGCCAATTTATATACTCCGTAAACAATATTAGGAAGCAATTTTGTTCAAAGATTTGTGTTAGAGTATTCTTTGTAGGTATTTTTTGTGAGCAGGTGGTCAAAGCTATTTCAGATACTGCACCATGCAGTTGTCATCTTTTTAAAGCTAGTTTATTGCACCCATTACCATGTGTGCATAGAAACCTGTAAAACTCTAAACAAACAGGTTTATATGTCATCCTACGTTTTCAGCAGATTTTTTAAGAGGATATACCCCCCAGCTTTTCCTCACTCCATTTCCCTTTTTATATATTACTGTAATTTCACTATAAATTTGAAATTTCAGGCTGAAAGTAGAAATGTTCTGGCGGCTCGGGAAAGGTTATTTTCTTGTGAAAAGATAAATTTTACTGAGGTAACGATATATAACCATACCATATAGCTACATCGTGTTTCAAAAACGTAAACCCTTTATCATCCTGTATCAAGCCTCTTTATAAATACCTATAATTTTATGCACTATGACAGGTTGAAGATTATAATGTTACAAACATTATATAATCTTCAACGTGAGAAAACATCGCCTTTTTTAAATGGATCAAAACCTCTATAATGGCTAATTAATATCCCGTAACACAAAACACTTCAAAGTATTTTTTTGTATATCAATAGATTTAATCTATTTTCTATGTTCTAATGTGTAGAAAAGAGCAGTTCTTCAGGTTGCTCTTCGTAATCGTTCCAACACACCCATTTTTGTTGATAGTAAAAATGTATGTATAGAACTTTGAATATACATTCACCCATATCACCTCGAAACGAAATTTGAATATACGTACCGCTTTTATAGATTATCGGCGGCTGCCTTTAAGTATTAAATTAATATATAATCATAAATTAATATTGTGTTTCTGTGTTTTCTAGCCCGGTTTATATGTTATTTTTAGGAAAGGTGTGCAACTTTTTCCCTAAACATTTGTGTGTTCTCCAGCACAGCTTTAGCTGTGTAATGAAACACACCATGGTGTGTACGAAACACACCTTCTTTGAAAACACACCTTAGAATGTGTTAAAATTTGGACAAGCAGAAAACACATCTTTTGGTGTGTTTTTTTGACACACCTTGCTATGTGTTAACACACCTTTGGAGATGCTATTTGCACACATTATGATGTGTTAAACACACCTTTAGGTGTGTTTGAAAACCTATTTTTAGGTGTGTTAAAATTTGGACAAAAAAGGTGTGCAAATTTAACACACCTTTTTTAGTGTGCGCCAGAAAAGGCGTCTTTTATTAACGTTTTTAGATCATTTAACACGTCGATATTACTATCAGTATATGTTAAAAATAAAGCAGTCCACAATGTAGATTGTAGAGTAACATTGCCTAAAGAAAAATTTAAAAGTACGAAGTGCCTCTGCCAAAAAGTTTCGAATTTTAAAACAAAACATATTTTACGATCATTTATCTGCGCATTAGCCAAGCGCATTTGTCTTCACTGCATGTAGGCGCGATTTGCTATGAATACCGATTAAGAAGCCCTCTCTCAAAGTAAACAGAATCGGCAATTAAGAAGCTAACACACTCGAAAAGCAAATACCGTCGTTTTCATTTCACGTGTACACGTGCTCATAAAACATGTTTTAATTAGAGTCAAAGTTGTAACGTTTGGGTAAAGAAAACTTTTTTCCATTATCGCTAAAAACAGGCACAGGCAGCTAGGATACGTGTTCAGAAATAGGTTTTTACTGAAAAGGATTGCTTATAGCATTTAAGAAAGAAACTAAATAAACTCACCTTTCTTCTATTTTGCCAAGAACTGACGACGCACACGAACACACCCCAAACTCAACCCAATTCTTGCTCGTACATATACGTCCGCCCTTCTCTTGTTTAGAAAACGTCTGGTTGCTACAAGGCATGATAAGGATTCGAAACATTTATCACCTAATTCACCTTACATCTCTCTGCTATAAACTTGTAAAGCAAACTGGGTTGAAAGTAAGCACGTACCATCTCAAGTTCCGTTTCCATTTTGTCTCTGTTTATTTTCGAGATTATAATCACCAAATACTTCCTTACCAACTACTTACAGCCTTGGCCGATTAACAAATTTGCTAATGGAGCACTGCATGTAACCCCCCAAAAAAATGATTACGTGGGCATTTTTATTTTTGGATATTATCAGTTCAATAGAGTACTGTAGCCCAAAAAAGAAACATGAATACATAGGCATTCTTTTTTCGTTATCTGTTCAATGGAACATGTAACCCAAATAATTTTTGCAAATATTTGTCGGGCTTCTATAGAGCATTGAGCTCAACGTTAATTGAATTAACTATATAAAAATGAGTGGAAAACGTGGATGTGGTAGTTGTCCGAAGTGTAAAACTAACTATTTCAACCGTTATAAGCCGGCATTAGGCCCCAAATTGCAATTATGCAGTAGAAGGTTCGTACGTGCCAAAGGAGAAAAAAGCAAAGTTAAATATTTTACCAGCTGCCTTTGTGTGTGAAAACGTAGCATCAATATCGACCACAAATTGCAACGATCGGTTTTTGTTTCTCGTAGCAAAGAGGGATTATGGATATGCCTACAGGAGTCTTGCAAGCAGAGAAGGGCCGTTGTGTTAAATAGTGACTGTACTCAGTTTAGATGCGAGCACATAGACAAAGCTGTTTATCAGCTTTCTCAACCAAAAACGCAACACATGATAAGCGCTGAACAGCTAGTATCGTATCCATGTTCCAATGCTTTGCGGGACACAATTCGTGGAAACCTTGAGGATTTATCGCTTAGATATGATTGCACACCAGAAGTAGAACTAAGTGATACGGTATTTGCAGTATATGCAACAGCGGCGCGAGCAATCCGTTGGGATTCTGCCACGTCAAGCGAAATGCTGACCATCCCTCTATAACCTGTTGTGGTAAAAATTGCCGTAGAATAATGTCTGAGGCGAAGCAGGAATGAGTGCAAGCATTATGTATTCATATCCACACAATGCTGTGTGCTCTAGCTTTGACCTCACCTATATCGAAGGCGGTGACCAATGAACCAGCAGATATAACCTTAGAGGAAACGATCACGGAACTGCCGGAACGCGTCACGACGGAAGCTAGCAGTATTCAAAGGGAATCTACTTTGAAGGTATGATATTTCGTTTCCTACGGCAGCTAGTGTGAATAATGTGGATATTTTTGGGTGTTCTTCTAGCCTCAAATTATAACTTTTTTGTGAATGCTTCGTGCAGTTGAAAAATCATCAATAATTATTATATTAGTTGTTGTTCCAAAAAAGACTGCGACGTTTATTAAATTTTAGCACTTACGATGCGGCGATTATTGAAGAGCGGGGTTAATTAATAACATTCTTGATTATTTTACTTGATTTATTCGAGCTGGACTTTTAAATAGTCACGATAAACCTACATTTCCAGACTGAAGAAATAACTGAAAAGTTATGATTTCGGAGAGAGATAATGTTTAGATTACGCGCGAACCATGACCATTGCTCACGACAACCACGCCCATTTTCATAATTGTCCCATGTTAAATTTAACTACACAGTAAATTAATTAAAAGGCACCATTTTAACTCCCAAGACCCCTTTTAAACGGGCTATATTGACATTATTAAATCAGGATCATTTTTGGCCCGATTCAAAGTTCTGTTTGGGCCCTATATTTTGGAGAGCTGATCAGGCCTTTCCCCTCTTTTTATAGAGCAATTATGACTATTGTACAACAGAGGAAAATAGCCATTTTAGGCCTATTAATAAATGAGAAGCATTATTGGCCCCAGTAACAGCCCCAGTTTTTAAAAGAGCCAAAAAAGCCCGTTGGAGCCATTTTGGCTTCTACGGTTCATTCACGTTCTGGTCATTCACGTTCTGGCATCAGGATAAATTAGCTCTTAGAAGCATTATTGGCACCACACTAGAGACATTTTAAAAGCCAAAACAGCTCTTGGAGCCTTTTTAGCCCCTCTCTGTTTTTACGAATATGACCATGAAGAGAGTTGTATAAAAAAATTGTAAATATGGATGTAAACATCGATATTTATAATCCTTGGCGTTTTTAGATGGCATTTACACGGTCACTTCCATATGGTACCGACATGAAGTCCAACATATTAATTTCCACCGAGAAGGATGCGGGTAGTGTTATGGGTCTGGATTGAGGATGGCCACATCAGTTTGTTCCAGTAGAAGAGATATGCAAACTCTGTTCGTCTTTTTTGTCCGAGCCAATGTTTCATCCAGGTCAAAGAGGAAAATCACGAGTTTTAACTTCGGTTTGATTATGATTATAGAAAACACTGTAATGGTGTAACAATAACGTTACAATTGCAGTTATAGCGAATGTTTTGTCCGTATAACATTTTAAAAATTGCCATATTCCATAAAGATATTATATTCTATAAAACCGCATTCAAATTTAAGTGCATTCAAATAGACATATAAACTTCTCAAATTTATAGATAACATATACCAAAGAAAACGAGCAACATGGCAGCATGATTTCGTTAGAGGAAAAGGCGGTTTACACCAGAAATGGAAATGCATTCAAGATCAAGATTGAAGAATTGCCGCCAATAATGCCTGATGCCATGCGAAATGAGAGCGCTATGAACTCCGAACACGAGAAACAGAGTGCCATTTTAAAATCTTTGGAGTATGACGGTTCGTTTCATTATAATTATGTAATAATATATTATATGTAGATCAGATTGACCAGTCCAACTCATGGTTCTGTAGGAAGGCGGGGTTTTAAGTATAGAGCCAGAGGTATATAAATTACCTTTTCTTCCGATGTGACAAGATGTATATTATCTTCGACTAGCTACTAGGATTAACTTGACATATTGTAATTGTGTTGTGGCGCATTTATAATTTTTTTACTAATAATTTTGTTAAGGTGATCCAGCAAATTACACCAACTCATAAAGGAAAAACAACTGGATATAGAGAATCTTAAAGAAATGTCTTTTGAAGCGATAAAAGATATATGCGAACAATGTTCCATTTCCACTCAGAGAAAATCAAAGGTAAATGCAACATTAATATCAATTTTATTAACATAAACGTATATAAATTTAGTGTGGCGTATTTGCGAATACCGAGATTATACGTTTCGATATCTCCAAGCTATAGTGGAACACGAGATTACTGGCCACTGGCCAAAAATATTTTTGAAATTTAAAGGGAAATTTATCAGATTCTGTAGCTGTCCAGTGCAAAGTAGCCTTGCGTAAAAAAGTAAAAGCGTGAAATAGCGAAAAAACATTCACGTGTACTATACAAACGATGCATGCATGTGTGTACAAATAAAATAAATTTTTATCGTTTTATACAATATACTAAAATAAATTTTTATCGTTTTATACAATATACCAAAATAAATTTTATGCTCTGTTGCAGTGTACTGTCGCATCAATGTTTCTTTGCTTGACTGAGTCAGTACGAGATGCTGTAGACTTGTATTTGTCAATGAAATACCACCCGATACTCTTTATCAACGACACACCATGTGGGTTAGCACGCGGCATATAGAATGTAGATTTCCAGATATCTGCACAGACTTATGAGGAAACATAGGTGGTTGTTTTGAAACACCAACAACTGAAAGGGATCCGATTCAGGTATCTAGAAATAAGACAAATATCGTATAATTATCTCATGTACATTATGTATAGGTGGCATTTGCATTTGCAGGACCAAAATGCTGTTTTGGAATATATGAGAATATAAAGGCATATATATAATTAAAATATTAACTTTTTACATGACTGGAAAATGAAATATCAACTTCGTCACATTTATTGTCCCCCTAAACAAGGGATTCGCTCGACTGTCAAACATGACTTTGGAAAACGGCTAAGTACATTTAGTTCTTTGAATGTTTGCTTGATGCAATCAATATTATATAACTTGTTTGTGCAAAAACCACGAAAATTTGGTATTGCGGAGCTTTCGTTCGTATGCCCGGAAATTATAGTCAGTGAAATTTCCACTAAATATAATTACCTTTAGGCCTCGGCTATAAAGAATTAAAAAGAAAATTCAAAATCTTACAGAAAAATACCATCTAAAGAAAGCCATGAATGCATGCATGTTTATAAGCAACAACCTGGCAACATTATAGCTACATTTAGTAAAGATATAAGCGAGAATAGTCAAATATAAAATATGAACGCAAGAGCAAGATGATCTGATAATAGGAATAAATTTGATTCGATTTTTAACAATTCATTATGCAGATTATAAATATAATCCCGCCTCTTTAATTTTGGAGACGCACTTCACTACTGCTGGAGAGCAGTTCGCGATATATAGCCGGTTATTTTTCGAAATATATTAGGCCTAATAGTTACCTGGGCGTACTTTATGTTACAGAACCACAACATTCCAGCAATCGTGCCGCCTGAATACAAAATGGACGGTACTGTATACATCGAGGCCGAAGATAGTGCATATGTCGACCCTGCTACTGGTTCAACTGACCGCTATATCTTGGGAGATAAATTCCATTCGACCACGAATCCTCACAAATCACCTTTATGCGCGTATCATGACATCAACCTTTGTGATCAGGCAAACTGCGTGGTAACCAGTACGCAAGAATCGCAAAACAACCGAAAGAACATCAGGCGGTTGCATAGTTCATGTCATCAAAATTTCGAAACACACATTTTATTTAATTACTTGCTGGATTTCTATCGAAATGAACAAGTCGTGAAAGATCAGGAGCGAAATCTCTCAAAACTGCTTAAGCGAAACCAGAAACTAGTGAGAGATAATTTGCTACGCTTCGTGGTGCGCTAGTTGCCTATTTGCAGTGACGTATATTCATGTTAACAGACTGTGAAGAGAGGTGTTGGGGGCTATTGGAATCCGAAAAACCGCACAAAAAAACAAAAACCAGAACCCCGTAGTAATTAAATTACGACCGAAGCCGAAAACCGCATATAGACCCGTATACTGCATAACCATCAAATAATTATAATCCTTAAAATCCTTAAACGTTTTATATCCCATTGTTTTACGTAACTAATTTTAGTTCTTTAAACAAAAAATCTTGCAAAACTCGCGAAAAGACTGGGAATGGAATGCGTAAATTACGTAACCTTTTGCCACCAATGAATCATGGGATATTGGCATATCGCGCCAAATAATTTTCTTTTATTGAAACACGCTTAGCTTGTGTACCTTTCTGCCTTTTTGTGCCTCAAAATGTCCTTTCTTCACTTAAACCAATGCTCAACTCCGGACTAAGTTATCGATTTTTCACCTGTTTTTTTTTGACTTTGTAAACGAAGGAATGTATATAAATACAAGCATTTCATATTCTGCTTCTTCAGTGATATTCCTTCATTATCATATTGAAGTAAAGTACTTATCTCTACTATTTTTTACGTTTTTGAAAATCAGATTGACGGTGGTGACTTTTCGACTTTTATCCCAGTAATTAAACAGCGAAAACGGTTTTTAAAGCTGTGGACGTCTGTCACGGGAAAAGTAGAATTTCAAAATAGCCCACATTTCGTTGAGAATGGTTGGTTTCACAATATTTGAAATAGCTATTAAAAGTTAAAAGGTGGTTTTTTGACGTACGAAGCGGGGGGGCTGCAGCCCCCCCCCAGTTTAGTCAGAAATATTAATTAGTTGGGCAATTTGTATTTAAGAGTCGGGCAATTTGTAGTACTACATAAAAATACCACTACATAAAAATATTTAAGAATGCTCAAATATGATAGAATATATATGCTTGCAGCTTGCGCAAAGCATAAAGGAAACGAAAATAAATTAAATAAACATGCTTTTCCGTCTGTGCCACTGGCTACCCTATGTGCCACAACTGATTGGCACGGACCGCACGGTAACAGCCTTACACGACTGATTGGCGCGGCAACAGAGAAACAAACATCATACATTTCCTGATTTCCAAATCGCAACACATCACGAACTGAGTCATTTTAAAAGATATCATATATTTCAGCTGCTAATTTTAACAACTCACCATGTAGTTACGAAACACTGCTATCGTTTTGGTAAGTTTGTAACTTTACTAACTTTTATAGCAAGCAACTGTACTGTACATAATTTATTTATTCATAAAAGTTTTATGGTGAAACATATTGACCTAAGTTATAATTGCACGCGACCGAACGCGTATCATTGTAATTTGTAATTCTGTATATCAAGCTATTTATAATTTATACCACCGGCATTTGCGTTGTTTAAGGTATGCATTGACAGTACTGTTACGAAAATTGGAGAACGTATGTCGCAATATATAAGCATTAATGAAAGCCGAACATTTTCCTAATTTTAAACATAAACTCATTAAACTGTATAGAGCCTAAAGTCGGCAAAACGCTAAACGCTTTCCCCTTTTCGATTAAGCGCTTCGCTATGAGCTAATGGAAATCAATTTATCAAAGTGCCTAAATAGTGTGAAAGATGATAAAGTACCGTATGCAGTTACGCCAGCGTATGAAAAATATCACTCGTAATACATACGCTGACATACGCTGATATGCTAGGTAATGGCGCATAAGGCGGCATGCGCTTCACATACAGCGTTAACGGTGAGGGCGTGAGGCAACAGCTTTTTTTAATTAAGCATACTTAAAAATTTCCTGTACTGACGTTTGGTTTGTGCGATAAGTGGCAGGCGCAAAATACATGGGATATGCCAGATTTACGGTACTCGTGCATACATTTTTGTACGTATGAAAATGTTTTCATTAATTCTCATACGTTTTAATTCAGCTGACTGAAGGGAAAGGTTCAATCGATGAAATTTTTTTTTTCAGTTTCCTTTTTCTACTTATATCCAAGAATAATAAGAATAATCATGTCCTGCAAATCTGGGCCTCGTAAACGGGCCTATCGTTCGCATCGAGTCAAGTGTGATGAATGCCAAGCAGAAATGAATGTAGACCATGCTAAAACCCACATGAAAAATGTCCATAGTGGAAAGAAAATGCGGTTCACTCCCTTGGTAGATGCTTCGCAATCACAGTTAAATAGATTTCTGCTTAGTACCACTGCAACAGCGGAAAAACCATCATTGTCCGAGACCGGCTGCAGCAGTAAAGCTACTGACGACAGTACGTTCATAGACATAGGAACAACTGAGGAAAACCAACCCGGATTGAGCTATTTCAACACTGAACCAGACATGATTGTTGAACTAGGGGCGACAAAGTCACCGAACCTGGAAAATATATCCCCTGATAAAGAAATACCGGAGCCAGCATGCTCTGGTGATTCAATTGGTATAATTGAAGGAAGTACACAATGCGCAGAGCCTTTGTTGTTAACGTCTGAAGCTGATGCCAATGGCCCAAACCAGCCAATTTTACATGAGTACCCAGCGAAAAGGTTTGGAAATGAAACATTTTCCCGTAAGTTCAATCCTCTATGGTATAAACATCATCCCTGGCTCAGTTATGAACCAAATAATGACCAGTGCATATGCTTTCCCTGCAGAAAGTTTGGTTACGACAATTCCTTTGTGTATAGCAATTGGAAAAAAACAGAAAGGCTTCGTAAACACGGTAACTCTGATAAACACATCACATCAATGACAAAATGGGCATTGTTTAAAGCCAATAAATCACGAAGTACATCGGTGCTCGAACAACTTAATAGAGCCCACAAGGAAAACGTTGACTGCAACCGGCGTTATCTGCGAGTTATCATAGAATGTCTCATGCACAATGTTCAACAGAACTCACCATTGAGAGGACATGAAGAAAGCAGACGCCATATTTGGGAAGTTTCTGATACTAATAGAGGCAATTTTATCGAATCTCTTCACTTTCGCTGTAAGGATTTACCATGGTTGAAGAGCATGCTTCAAAGCCAGCTTAAGGCACATGCGCAGTGGACGTCTCCCAGCATCCAGAACGAGCTGATTGAAATTGCATCGGACATGGTTCGACAGAGGATTGCGAGCGACGTCAGGAACAGTGAGCAATTTAGTATTATAGTAGACGAGACGCCTGATATCAGCAAGTCAGAACAAGTGTCTCTATGTCTGAGGTACGTCTGTGCTGGTCAAACATTGGAAACGTTTGTTGGATTTTCCACAACCGCATCAACTGAAGGAGAGGTTCTCTTTGAACTTGTGAAGAAAGCAATTGTCAACCTAGAGCTAAAGCTTGAAAATATTGTTGGAGAATGCTTCGATGGCGCTGCTAATATGAGTGGAGTTCACAAGGGACTGGCGACGCGTATGAAAGAGTGTTCTCCTTTGGTAGTTTACGTCCATTGTTACGGTCATCTGTTAAACCTTGCCCTTCAAGATACGATGAAATCTGTCGAGTCAGCCCGCAATGCCCTTGGAACAGTACAGAAACTGTATACGTTTCTTGAAGCAAGTCCTAAACGTCATCGAATTTTTCAAGACTTGGAGATTGAGGAAGATCACATCAATCTAACCCTTAAATCCTTAAGTGTTACAAGGTGGTCGTGCCGTTCGGAGGCTGTGAGAGCAGTGGTCGAACAGATGACAAGAATTATTCAAGCACTTATCTTATGTAGTGATGATCACGATCCCACAACCTATACTGACAGCAATAACTTGCTAATCTCAATTTGCGATTTTAATTTTGTGTTTGGTTTGTTATTGCTAAGAGTTGTCCTGTCAAATACAGACAGTCTCTCCAAGTACCTACAAAGCAAGAACATGGATGTTATCACAGCAAAAAAAACGCGGACTCAACTATCAAAGCTCTTGAAGGCTGCCGAAGTGAAGAAGGATTCCACATGCTTTGGCTAAGAGCACATGTTATGGCAAATAACATTAAGAAAGAAATTCAGGGCACCAGATTTTCATTCAAAGATGCTACACCCCCAAGAAACAGAGTTCCGTCGCGTCGATTGCAGGCCCTAATCGGCGAGTCATCCACTACAACTCTGCACCAACAACCAACTCCAGAGAGCCATTACAGGATTACAACCTACTACCCGACGTTGGACAAAGTTATTCTGGAGATGCAAACGCGCTTTCAAAGCAACGATCAAGACATCTTGTGTGCTCTGGCAGACGTGGTTTTCGGTCAGAAACCGTCAGAAGAAAGCATTGCCTTGGTCTCCTCGTTCTATTCATTAGATAGTGCAATCCTAGAAGCTGAGTTGGAGATTCTCCGTAACTTCTTGTCTGATAACCCTGTCTCGCACCAAATCAAGAAAGCAGCAACGTTGGTGAAGACCCTTTACGAAAATGAGCTCCATACAGTTCTGCCAGTCTTCTACAAAGCAAGTTCAATCTTGGCAACAATCCCAGCAACATCATGTTCTGCTGAAAGATCTTTCAGTGGATTACGGAGGATAAAAACGTACCTTCGTTCTACAATGGGTCAAGAGCGCCTGAGTAGCATTTCTCTTTTATGTATGGAGCGAGCGTACACTTATAGAGCTCTCGAAAATGATATGGAAAGAATCATTGACGTTTTTGGCCAACGAAGTCACCGCGCTTCACATTTCTTTTGACATTATACTTACTATACTAATATACAATACACGATAAACACTTGTAGTACAGGAGATTAGGTTAGATTTTCGGAGAAAAGTCACATTTTGTATGATATAATTAAAATCGTTGTCAAACTTGGTCTTTTTCAATTTTCATTAGCTGATATTCGTAATATTTTCTCCTCAATTGCCCCATGCAGAAAAACGTTCCAAAATACCGGGGGAGCATGCCCCTACACCACCCTTTTTTCCCTCGGTATTTAGCGCTCGTCGGGCAAACTATGATCCGCCCCCCCAAAATTTATAGGCCCGTACGCCTATGGTTTTTTCGAAGCAACTTGGAGTATAAGATTAAGGAAGTTGTTTGTCGGAACAGCCGTCATTGAAAAAGGCGTTTTAAGATTGATTATTGAGTATAACCATTGGCCAGTGAAATGAAAATAACTGGAACGCTACGGTCGTTATCTTCCGACCAAAAGTTGAAACTAAGTCACCCTCAGTCTTTACACGCAAAAACAAGCGCGGCCGAAACAAATGTATTTTGTTGTGATTTCGTAAATCTGATAAAAACTCCAAAAAAATTTTTTTACAGATAAATAACTGCCGGCTTAGTACTTCCAGTCGGCTGAGACATTCTTGATGTTAGTAGAATGCATTTTATGGTCCTAATTTTAGAAATGCGGAGAAGACAGTTCTTCACTATAGGAAAAAGCGTAGAGCCTAGCGTGACAATGCAGGAATATTTGCTTTATCTATATTAATAGAACTTTTTTGTCATCTAGTCACTTGGAATTAAATAAACATAAACTTATAATTTTAAACAATGTCTATCAAGTGTATTTTGCGATGAAATTTTAGCTTTTAGGATATCCGTTTCGTACAAATGTTGTTGTCAAAATTGCATATCGCTGTGAACTTGTTCCGTTTAAGAGAATTTGTTTCCAATCCGATCGGCAACTGCAGACGTAATTCGTGAAACAGTTCACCTGGTTAAATTTAAGATTAATTCCATTATATATGATTCCACAAAAAAGACATTTAAAACCATGAAACAAACAAAAAACCAAATTTCTTTCAAATTCGCTCTGCATCTGCAGTCATCTCGCGAGCACCCGCAAATGAAGCCAAAAATTTGCCACAGAGTCCCGCGAATTTTGGCCTCGGGCTGCGCTCTCAGGAATTACACAAACCTCCCTTGCCTTCGGGGCATTTAATCACTAATTTCCCTGATGTCATGATATTACGTATAAGAATAATATAGTCAAAGATCCGGAGCATAAACTTCATAATTTGCTCCCACCGTTACATCATGACCTTGAAAATGAACGTAAATTTAACATACCACACTTTCATACTGATCGTGCCAAGAATTATCCCCGAGCCGGTGCGAAGCACCGGGCAAGGGTACTAATTTCACCCGGAGATTTTAATTACGCCCGGGAATGCAAATGCGAAATGAAAGTTGTCATTATGTCATGGACGTTGGGCGTTTTTGTAAGTTATGCGCATGCGTGAGTATAAGACGAGTTAAAACTGGTAACTAGCAAACGTTTACAAACGTGCGATTGGCTAAATTAAAATTTGGGTCACGTCAGCATAACTGATATTTTGAATTATAAACCTTTTTTTAAATAATATTTTTCATTTGGATGGTCTTAATTAAAAATATACGAAAAATTGACTCGTAAAATTGATTAAAATATAATGTAAAAGATACCTTTGGATAGAAAAATTTTCATTCTAATGGATGGTGAAATATCTACGATTTTGAAGCATTTTTAAAGTGTTTTTGAACAGGTAAATGGGTAGATTTCGGTATTTTAAAGTATACTATTGTTTTGTAAGTTTAATATGTGGATTTATCAACAAATGTATGACCCCTCTTTGAATTTATTCGTCAATATATCGTTGAAATGATTTGGATTTGAAAAGTATTTATTTTATTAAAGGTGAATTTGTTTAAAAAGTAATTGAAATTTCGCTAAGAATTGTAGTATTTAAAACTATTCGTTGCACAATTATGATTATATTATAGTCGAATTTGATAGCTCGAGAGTCGACTTTATAATTCTACCAAGATATAGGATTTTACTTTACGACTTCGATCATTCAGCAGAAACGAGTATCATAGAATTTCAGTGATGGAAATATTGTTTATAGCTTTAAATATTGTTTATTGTTTAAAGTTTATTGCGTCAGGCGAGGGGACTTTGCATGCAATGTATTTCTAGTTTTATATTTAAGATGGCAGCTAAAACGTAATTCTAAACGTAATCCGTTTGAATACTGGAATGGATCGGAATTTGTTTCAAACCTTCTTTACTTGAAAGATTTTCTCGTGAAATAGAGAAAATGGGCTACTCGGAGCTGATGGAGGGGGGTCAGGGTGGCATTAAGCTGCACTGGAAGGGCAAATGCCTCCCCCAGCATATGCGCTGAAAGAGGCCCTCAACACGTAAACTTGCGTGGACTGGCGGTGTGGTTGTCAAACAGAGCAATAACATGAAGTACCCGTAAACCATAAACCGCCGCTACAGATTTTGAACCAGACTGAGGATTCGTATTTACAAAAATTGTTGGTATTTGGATAAAAAAATGCAAAGATAATGCAAAAACATAAAAATAATTCAACTAAAAAGATTCTAAAATATATATTCTATAATAAAAAATACCTTCTTGAGTAAAACTAAAGGTTGCAGAAGAAAGTGGAGATTGGAGTTGGATAATTATGATAACTCTTTATTATTTCTGGTGGATAACGGTTGAAAACCTTGGTAGGTGTTGATTTTAATGTTTTATCACTCCTCAAAAGTTCAAGATTCCATTTTTAACTATGATTTGGAAAGTTAACGATGCCCTTTAGGATGCATGATTAAGAATTTTATTCAACCGGCCCCTGAATTGACTGAATTCGATTCGGATAGAAAAAAAAGCATATGTGTTATTTGGAATATATTTTTCTAAGAATGCAACCTGATATTGTATTAATCTCAATGATGTGGTACGTCTGCTTGAAGTTTTCTGTACTTTCTTACTCAATATTTATTTAATAGTTTAATAGTATGTATGGAAAAAAAGGCATCTTCACCTAAATTGTGTTCATGAATTTATATGTCATTCTTACATAGAAGATTAAAATTTTTTTAGTGCAATAGACTTTGGCAATTTAATATAGAATCTTGAACAGATTATAAATTTAATAAAACCAGCAAATAATTGTTGAAAACCATGGCCAGAAATTGCGGACATGGAATATGCAGATTGCCGTAGCAAATTTGCATATCTGTTCAAATATTATTCGTTTGCAGAACTAAAAATTACATTGCGCATTCTTAAATTTCGCAAAATTAAGGAAAACCATTGCATCTTTGCAATTTGCCCTGGTTGTTTCTTGTAATTCGTGTCATATTAAAGATCCTGAGTTAATATTTTGCTGGTAAAGGTTTATGTCGGCTCTGCATTTTTATTTTATTTGTACGCTATTACGGTTTTCGTTTTATATGGTATTCAACGTGATAAATGACCAAAACTTTGTTTTGAAAATGCAGGACGAATACTGATAAAACATTTTGAAATACTGTCTCAAAATATTAAGATTAACTTTCTCTGCAACGAGCAATTAAGGCAAATTATAATCGACCACCTAAAGCTGTATTTATAGCGTTTAGTACTGTGCACATTACAGTTTACTATAAGCTCACGAAGCTTTATTTTGACACCATATGCAAATTTAGGCGGAAGTAGAATGTTAATTATGTCCGAATTTTCTGGCCATGGTTTTCATATGACTAAATAGCTATTTAGTCATATTATTGCCATAGTTAAATAAATATATAAATATGAGATAAATAAACCAGGACTACAGGATTTATTCTAATTTTGTACACTCCTTGTGGTAAACACTCAAATATGAATTTGTAATTCAATATTTTTTATTCTACATATGTGGTCATGTGTCTGATATATATGCCTATTGTACTATATATTTGACATGCACTATATATAAATATAAATATATATATATATATATATATATATATATATATATATATATATATATACAATTAAGTAAAGTATCCAAGAAGAAAGAGTGCTCGATATCAAAATTTAATAGAGCGATTAAAATAAAATCAATGAAATATTACAAAATTTTGAATATATTGTTCGCTACACTCTGTGTTTCACGTTTCTTCTGAAACGATCATCAGGCGAATGATGAATTCATTTATTATATATATATATATATATATATATATATATATATATAATAAATTTTATTATATATATATATCAGCAACCAGAACG